TCTAGTTGCTTTTCTGAGGAAGGCTTTTTGAATTTATTTCTCATACTGAATAGTGGAACTTAAGTATTTTGTGAAAGTTCCTCTGGTGAATTGGTGGCAGCTAGGGTTGACAGTTACTGCCCCTCCTCATCTTCTGTAATCATCCCCTTCTTGTTTAGGCTACTCCAACCACTCAGGCCTTTGTGGTGTTTCTTAGCATATTCCTATCTTAAGACCTTTGTATTTGCTGTTTTCTCTGCCTGGGGTTCTTCCCCAAATCTCTGAATGGCTCACTCTGTTATTTTCATCAGGTCTTCATCAGAGGGTCACCTTATCTGTGATATCTCTCTGACCCTGCTGATGAGCACCACATATAAAATAGCAACACCTCCACCCCCTCAAGCCTCTTATTTTTCTCCCATTTTGCTGACCATCTTATGATATATAATTAGTTTCCACCACTATGCATAAACTCTTTGAGACATTGTTTTGTTCTGTTACATGTCCAGCCCCTAAAATTGTCCTGCTCAATTAGGGGCATCTGGGTGGCTCAGTCAGTTGGGTGTCTGACTCTTGATTTTAGCTCAGGTCATGATCTCAGGGTCATGAGATCAAGCCCCTCATTGGCTCAGCACTGGGAGTGGAGCCTGCTTAAGATTCTCTCTCTCTCTCTCTCCCTCTCCTCCTCCTCCCCGCTCTCTCTCTCTTTTTTTAAAAGATTTTATTTATTTATTTGACAGAGAGAGAGATAGCGAGAGCAGGAACACAAGCAGGGGGAGTGGGAGAGGGAGAAGCAGGCTTCCCGCGGAGCAGGGAGCCCGATGCGGGGCTCGATCCCAGGACCCTGGGATCATGACCTGAGCTGAAGGCAGACGCTTAACGACTGAGCCACCCAGGTGCCCCTCACTCTCTCTCTTTAAAAAAAAAAAAAAAAAAAAGGAAAGAAAAAACTCAATATTTATTGTTGAATGAATATAAGAATGAAATTATGATAAAAGTAATCAAAAACTAATGATGTAATGAATGGTGACTCACATAACATAATAAAATTTAAAAAATTATGATAAAAGTATAGGCTTCATAGGTGCTTGTGAGGATTGAATAAGTTAATACATTTAAGTGAAGACATTTACAGTTAAGGTATTAAGCACAGTGCCAAGCATATGGTAAACTCATATTATTCAAAACTGTTGCCTCTCAAATGATCACTTCTCATTTCTAGATATTATAGAGATTGAAAACTACTTGCTTTTTGTAAAGCAAGCCTTTTTTTTTTTTTTTTTTTTTTTTTTTGCTCACATTACTATTATGATTAACACCAGATTTTACAACCCTGTGGCTGGGATGGTAGAATGAAGCTTAATCCATGGAACTCTCTTTATGTAGCTGCAGGATTGGAAAATAGATCTCTGTGTTTAAGCCAGCTTGTGATTTCCAGGCAATCAGGAAGCAGCTTTTAATGTAACTTAATGAGTGGGAGAGTGATTGAATAGACATCATTCCTTTTTAACTTTTATCTTGTAAGAACTCCATTCTGGGAGACTGGCACACTCAGTTTTATGTAATGCAAATGAAATATGATACTAAGCAGATAAAAGCAAATATTGTTTTTGTTGAAGAGAGCATCAAGATTGATTGACCTGAGTGGTAAGTATTGACTCAAGCAAATGCTGAAGGCAGTGTTTACCACAAGGGACAGTAAATCTTGATGATCAGAGAATATATAGTTAATCTCAGTATTATTACAGAGTTTCACTAGAAGTATCTAGAAATCTTGTGGAATGAATCTGTTGCATATAACTTTCCTTTTGGAAAAACCCAACAACGAACTTTTAAGTTGAAGACACAGAGTTCTTTAGAGTCCTTACACATATCGATGAGCTTTTCCCTGATTGTTTTTAACTTGGACAGCCAAGTTCCTCCCTTATACCTGACAATGTTATTAGCTAGCTGCTTTATTCAAGAAATTGATTGATAAATCAGTACAGTTAGTTTTTGTTCCATAACCATTATATATCCTTTATAAGTCTTATGCTAGATAGTTTATAAGATACAAGACAAGGAGAAAGTATCTTTGATGTTCATCGAGTTTAGGGGAAATACAAGATCTCTATATTTGAAGTAGGCAATGGCACAGTTCTACATGTGACACCTGGTTTCTAATAACATAGAAATTATTTTAGAAAGTTGAGATGAGAGGAAAGTTGAAGAAGATGAACTGTAAATAAGATCTTTTTTTTAAAGTTTTTATTTTAATTCCAATTAATGTACAGTGTTATATTAGTTTTAGGTATAAAATATAATGATTCAACAGTTCCATACATTACCTGGTGCTCATCATGACAGGTGCACTCCTTGGTCCCCATCATATATTTACTCAACCCCTCACCCCTCCCCCTTCTGGTAACCATCAGTTGATCTCTTTCTTTCTTTCTTTTTTTTTTTTTTTTAATATTTTATTTATTTGACACAGAGAGAGCACAAGCGGGGGGTGGGGGTGGGGAGTGGCAGGCAGAGGGAGAGGGAGAAGCAGGCTCCCCGCCAAGCAGGGAGCCCAGTGCAGGACTTGATCCCAGGACCCTGGGATCATGACCTGAGCCGAAGGCAGTCGCTTAACCATCTGAGCCACCCAGGCGCCCAGTTTGTTCTCTTTCTTAATCTCTCTTTTTTCCCTCTGCTCATTTGTTTTGTTTCTTAAATTCCACATATGAGTGAAATCATATGGTATTTGTCTTTCTCTGACTTTTTTGCTTAGCATTATACTTTCTGGCTCCACCCATGTCATTGCAAATGGTAAGATTTCATTCTTTTTTTTATGACTGAATAATATTCTATTACACACACACACACACACACACGCAGGATACATATATATAAAATAAAGAATGAGATATACATATTTATATTCACACACACACATACACACCACATCTTTATCTGTTCATCTATTGATGTGCACTTGGGCCGCTTCCATATCTTGGCTGTTGTAAATCAAACTGCTGTAAACATCAGTGTGCATGTATCCCTTTGAATTAGTGTTTTTGTATTCTTTGGGTAACCCAGTACCATGATTGCTGGATCGTAGGGTAGTTCTATAACTTTTTGAAGAACCTCCATACTGTTTTCCACAGTGGCTGCATGAGTTTGCATTCCCACCAGTGGTGCAGAGGGTTCCTTTCTCTCCACATTCTCACCAAAACTTTTTGTTTCTTGTGTTTTTGATTTTAGCCATACTGACAGGTGTGTGGTGGTATCTCATTGTGGTTTTGATCTGCATTTCCCTGATGATGAGTGATGTGGAGCATCTTTTCATGTGTCTGTTGGCCATCTGTATGTCTTCTTTGGAGAAATGTCTTCTGTCCTTTTTTTTTTTTTTTTTTTTTTTAAGTAATCTCTACACCCAACATGGGGCTTGGACTCACAACCCTGAGATCGAGTCTCATGCTCCACCAGCTGAGCTAATCAGGCACCCCTGCCCATTTTTAAATTGGATTATTTGGTTTTTGGGTGTTGAGTTGTGTTAGTTCTTTATATATTTTGGATACTAACCCTTTATCAGATATGTCATTTGCAAATATCTTCTCCCATTCCATAGGTTGCCTTTTAGTTTTGTTATTTCTTTTGCTGTGCAAAAGCTTTTTATTTTAATATAGTCCCAATAGTTTATTTTTGTTTTTCTTTCCCTTGCCTCAGGAGACATATTTAGGAAAAAGTTGCTATGGCTGATGTCAAAGAGGTTATTGCCTGTGTTCTCTTCTAGGATTTTTATGGTTTAAGGTCTCACATTTAGTTCTTTAATCCATTTTGAATTTATTTGTATGTATGGTGTAAGAAAGTGGTCCAATTTCTTTTGTATGTGGCTGTTCAGTTTTCCCAACACCATTTGTTAAAGAGACTCTTCTTTTCTCATTGTATATTCTTTCCTGCTTTGTTGAAGATTAATTGACCATATAGGTGTGGGTTTATTTCTGGGTTTTCTTTTCTGTTCCATTGATCTGTGTGTTTATTTTTGTGCCAGTACCAGATTATTTTGATAATGTAAATAAAATCTTGAATAGGATTTGAGTAGGCAGACAAAAGAATGGTTTGTAGTGTGAGAAATAGAATTCCAAAAGCATAAGATTTTAATATATGCGCTTAAAAAATTTATACAAATAATAAATGTTAAATTATAGACATATCTGAAAAGACATAAATAAAAATAAATCCTTCCCCCAGAGATAACTACCTTTAACATTTTGTTATATATCTTTCTAGACTTTTTCCTGTTCAGGTACATACAGGTGTGAAAAATGCAAAGATGGGGTGCCTGGGTGGCTCAGTCGTTAAGCGTCTGCCTTCGGCTCAGGCCATGATCCCAGGGTCCTGGGATTGAGACTCATATTGGGCTCCTTGCTCAGTGGGAAGCCTGCTTCTCCATCTCCCACTCCCCCTGTTTGTGTTCCCTCTCTTGCTATCTCTCTCTCTCTGTCAAATAAATAAATAAAATCTTAAAAAAAAAAAAGAAAAATGCAAAGATATTTGTGCAAATGTTTATCAGTACATATAAATAAATAGGAAAATAAATATTGATATAAAGGGGTAGTATTAATATGTTTCATAAAGATTCATTTAAACATTTTTGCTATTATAAGATTATATATATGGTAATTTAATTGATCAGTGAAAGTACTATGGTCTTTGTCATTCCTAAGATTTTCCTTCCTGAACATATTAGATACATATGGTGGAGTATATATATATATTTTTAAAGATTTTATTTATTTATTTGACAGAGAGCGTGAGAGAGGGAACACAAGCAGGGGGAGTGGGAGAGGGAGAAGCAGGCTTCCTGCAGAGCAGGGAGCCCGATGTGGGACTCGATCCCAGGACCCTGGGATCAGGACCTGAGCTGAAGGCAGACGCTTAACGACTGAGCCACCCAGGCGCCCCCATATGGTGGAGTATATTATTAGCTACATTTGGTGGAGTAAGTAGACACATTGTTTTGACTGATAATGAATCTCTTATAATTTTTTTAGGTGCTGGGTCTTCAGCTCTGAAGAGGCCATTTGAAGATGGATTAGGGGATGATAAAGATCCCAATAAGAAGATGAAACGAAACTTAAGGAAAAGTATATAAAATCTTTCTTCTAGAGATGTGAACTAGAAAAGATTTGTAGTCTCAGACAGGAAAATAAAAATTACAAATTGAAGAATTTGATTGATTTGAATTGGAGTTGTTTTTTTTTTTTTTAAGATTTTATTTATTCATTTGAGAGAGAATGAGATAGAGAGCATGAGAGAGGGGAAGGTCAGAGGGAGAAGCAGACTCCCTGCCGAGCAGGGAGCCCGATGCGGGACTTGATCCCGGGACTCCAGGATCATGACCTGAGCCGAAGGCAGTCGCTTAACCAACTGAGCCACCCAGGTGCCCTGAATTGGAGTTTTAAGAATATAGCTTACCTGAGAAATTGATGATTGGATAACTTTCTTTTGTTTTCAGTCTTCATTGCTTCAGATATATTAGTATTGACAAACTAAAATTGATGTTATAGATATAATAATTCGCATCACTTGTACACTAGTGTTAGTATAATTAAAGTGATTTTACAGTTATGAAGTGAAATTAATTTGTGTATGTGTTTTCAAATTCTTGTTTTTTAAAGCCTGGTGAATTTATAGTGGTCACTCAGAACCTACAGATGCATAGATTAAAAACAAAATAGTTTAATTTCTGATCTCATTCTTTTTGTTTTGTTTTATTTTTGTTTTTGTTTTAAACAGTTCTGGATAGTAAAGCAATAGACCTTATGAATGCACTAATGAGGCTAAATCAGATCAGACCTGGGCTTCAATATAAGCTTTTGTCTCAGTCTGGCCCTGTCCACGCCCCAGTCTTCACAATGTCTGTAGATGTGGACGGTACAACATATGAAGCCTCAGGGCCATCCAAGAAAACAGCAAAACTTCATGTAGCAGTGAAGGTACAGTATTGCATTTATTTAGCAGGGCTTTGTTATTTTATGTTGTAAATAAGGTGCTTATTTTTCTAAAATAAATTAACAGACTTTTTAAAGATTTTAATGATAATTACATAAAGATTTTTGTCACCTCTGGATTATAGAATTTTTCTTTTTTCATTATAAAATAATATATATATTCCAAATAAAATTTGGAAAATGCAGAGGAAAGTAAAGACATAAAAAATATGGGGCAGATCATTAATATTTATATATAGTATGTTTGTTTAGGTTGAGCTCACAGAATGTATGTAATTTATCCTCTGATTTTTTTTTTCATTTACTATGTCATCAATGTTTTCTCAGGTTATTAAAATCCTCACAAATAATTTTTAATGACCAAATGATTAACATGATATGGATATACTATTATTTGTTTAGACATTTTACTATTCATTGAATATTTTGCTGTTTGCAGACTTTGCCGGTCATAAATAAATTTAATTATTATCTTCCTGCATATGGTGCCTTTTCTGTATTTCACATTATTTCCGTAGGGAATAAGGTCCAGGATCGAACCAACCAAACATGCATGTAGGTTTGTAGAAAGTCCCTAAATCCTGGAATTTTTCCATGAGTACATTTGCCCTCTTGTAGACAAATGTGAAAATGTCAAAGATCGTGTAGACTAAAGATCAATTTTAATTTAAGAAAAGTTCTATTATGTAACAGTATGGCATAAGACAGAATTGGTCTGTTTTCATGATCATTCCATTTTGTAAGTATTATTAATAAAGATGTGAACGTTGTCCTAGATTCTAAGGATATAGCAGTGAACAAAACAAAGCCCTTGGCCTCCTGGAGCCTGCATTCTAGTGTGGAAAGGATTGGAGACAGACAACAAATATACAAATGAATAAATTCTAAGGCAGGTAGTAATAAGCACAATGTAGGAAAATAATAACTAAACTGTAAACATATAAAACAACATTTATGTTGTGTCTTGTTTACAAAAGGGGTACTTCAAGTATGATGAAGTAGTGTGAGTTTAAAATGAGGCAGAAAAAATGAAGAATGAGGGGAAAAAATGAATCCAGGAATAAAGCTAAAAATACGGTTCAGTAACTTAGCCCCATAATGTATGCTGAGAATGAGTCACAAATTAAGATCTCAGTTCTCTAGAATCTGACTCAAAAAGCTTATGAAATATCCCTTCATAGTGACATAAGAACTGTTGACATAGTGACATAAGACAGTGATTATAAGAGTCATAGTTGTTTTGGTATACAGATCAAATGGACATTCTCCTTGAGTGGGTCTTCATAAAAAAGGATTGCAGTGATATCCTTAAACATCGTGTGTGATGCAGTGAAAATTTGTGGGTTGTTTGTTATGATTGCCTTTAATGTAAGCTAGTGGCCTCATACCAACTTGTAATTCAGTAAAATTTGGGAGTAAGAACAGTGGGAGATTTTGTAATATGACAGGATTTAGATGCTATTTCTTCTCATAATTACTATTAACATTTTGGTATGTATTTTTCCAAGCCTTTTTTTTTAAAACCTGCAGTTCCAAAATCCATAAAGCACTGAAAATGAAAAATAATTCCTGAAGTTTGATGAAAACTCACTTGATGGGAAAACCTGACTTGAATTGTTGTAGAACTACTTTTAGTCTTTATTATTCCATTTCGTGTGAATATTTTATATGTTCCTTTGCACAAACATGGGGTAGCACCTGAACTCAACTGGGGATTTGGAAAATATATAGTAAATATTTTGTATTCGCTTTCTAAACTCTGAAAAACTATGAATTCTCGAAACAATCTGGCCCCAAGAGTTTTAGATTAGGAGTGGTGGGACCTGCATAGTGGGAATACAAAATATGTAATTAAAACAAGTATTATTTTTGTTCATCTAAGAATATGAGGGCTTTTTTTTTATAGTTATCACAAAGATTGTTCTCCTTTTTAGTGATGGCCTAATATTTTTTTTATTATCAATCTACCGTAATGTAACTGATCTTTTAGATTTAGATGCTGCCAGTTGGTTGCTTTACATCTTTTTAAACTAGTCTCATTATCCCTTAAGATATATGTTAGGGTCACCTAGCTGGCTCTGGTCGGTAGAACATGCGACTCTTAATCCTCAGGGTCGTGAGTTCAAGCTCCGTGTTGGGTGTAGAGCTTACATTAAAAAAACAAAGGTAACAAGTAAAGACAAATTCTAGAAATGAAATTAGATCAAGAAGAGGGCACATTTGAATGATCCATTAATTCATTAAATAGGTATTGGGCTTCCTATTATATGTCAGGCATATGTTGCCAAACTGCCATCTATATACAGTGTCAGGTTCTGTTTTACAAATGAATTTGAGAGTGGTTTATATCTGACATGAAAGTAGTTCCCACTAGATAAAAATCCTTAGATTTCTTACTCAGTAGTTTGGTAGGAGTCTGTACCTGTTAAGACAAATCACACCAGAGAATCAAATCAAAACAAAATACGAAAAAGCGGTTCCTGCCACAGGAGCCTGGCCTCCAGCAGTAGGCAGCCTGAAGTGATGGAGATCAGTTGCCCATCTTTTCTTTCCTCTTCCAGCCCTTTTTTCTGATAGTCCCTCACAAAGAACATAATCAGCGATATTCCATGAAAAGAAATCTTAGTCATTGTATGGAAAAGGTCAGGACAAGGAGTGAAGGCTCTTTGGGAGAGGTTCTTGCGGCCATCAGCTCTCCACCATCCAGAAGCCACGGATAGGACTTTCTTTTGAGTGGAGAGCCATACAGTAGAGTATGTTTTCGTGTGTTTTCTTTTCACCTTTGTCCTATAGTCTTTTTTTTTTTTTTTTAAAGATTTTATTTATTTATTTGACAGAGACACAGCGAGAGAGGGAACCCAAGCAGGGGGAGTGGGAGAGGGAGAAGCAGGGGGAGTGGGAGAGGGAGAAGCAGGCTTCCCGCAGAGCAGGGAGCCCGATGCGGGGTTCGATCCCAGGACCCTGGGATCATGACCCGAGCCGAAGGCAGACGCTAAACGACTGAGCCACCCGGCACCCCTGTCCTGTAGTCTCTGAGGTTATCAGCTTTCCCAGCCTCAACCCCCTTCTGGGTGGGCGGGGGGAGGGCATGGTTATACTGAATTTCCCAGTCACCTTGTTTCCAGGAATGATCTTGTGATTTTTCAACCCAATTGATGTGTTTATTAGATATGATTTGTTTGCCAGACACTTGAGACCACTTTTTTGGTGTATCAGTTTTTTGGCTCCGGTATTGATTCCAAGCAAACTCTGGTTCTAGAGGTCTGAGAACTCATTACTTTTTTTTTCTTTAGCTTTTGTAGCATATACTAGTTAATAATCTCATGTATTCATAGGAAAATGACATAATTTTACATTTTTTTGTTAGCTGGTCTGTATTGCAAATATACTGTATCCCTTGAGATTATCCATCAGTTATATAAACTATAGTGTAGTGAAATATGTTGCTGCAATAACAAATAAATGAATGTGATATGTGAGAAAAGCACAGAGAGAAATGGTGTTAAAATAATTCACATAGACTTATTTTAACTGTCTATGTTAAATTGGGAAAAGCTGCATTTCTTTAGTTTTTATTGAATAAACAAATCAAATTTATTTGTGACTCTTGACTTGTGACTTGCAGCCTGTATTAGCCTGGTGTTCATTCCAGACTGATAACTGTTCTTTCAGAGATGAGATTTTTCAGGGAGAGCATATTTACAGGACTCATACAGTGGAGAAGGTGTTTTCTTTGTAAAATATTGACGAGGATAAGCTAAATGATGTTAACATACTTAGTCTTATAGTACTACTTGAGAACTTCTAAAACTTAAGATATTGAAAAGAGGTTCTTGGCTTTCATCTAGTGATTACAAAGAATTAATTTATGATTTGAAATGTTCAACAGAATGCCAGAGTTTCCATATGAATTGGGTGAATTAATTTCAAATTCTCTTGGTACAGAGTTCTACTTATGTCCATTTTTTACAGATTTTATTTATATTGGCAGAATCCATTATAGAAGATGCCATTGTTTATAAAATTTAGGCTGCCTGGTCTCTCATTCGTGGGACTATCATAACTGTTTTTTGAGACACCTATTACATATAGTTGGGATTGTAAAGAAATATGACATTGCTTTTACACTCCAGCAACTTAAAACATTAGTCAAAAGCTGAAACAAATACAGAGATGTTTACGAACCTATCTCCATATATTTTGATATAAACCTTTAAATTAGTAACTGACAATGCAACATTAGTCTGTTTGAAAGAGGCTTATAAAAATGCTAGTGAATGTATTTTCTTGTAAACATCTAAAAAGCAGTATAACCTGGCAGGAGATATTAAAAGCCATGCTTGTATGTGTGTATGCTCATGGGCACATGCATGCCCCCAGACACACACACACACACACACACACACACAGTTCAGAAGACTTTATTTTAAAAAAGATAAGAAATGCCAGGCATTGAATGGTGATATAAGAAGAATGGACATTGGAGGAAGCCATAATGTAACTAGGCCTTGAGGGGATGGAAATACAAACCTAATATTGTTCCTGGTTCACTTACTATAGCAAATAAATCTTGAGACTGAATCCTTCCTTTCAAGTATTGATTTTGGTTTAAGTTGAAAGCAAAGAGGTCAATAGAAAGCTTCAGATATTATATAATTAACAGGCAAATTGGTTCCAGCATGAAGACTTCTTGATTCCCTTTCTGTGCTAATTCCCCTGATGGATTGAGTCATAGAATTTAGAGGTCAACTAATCAGTCTTCCTGTTTTGCAGATTGGAAAATTGAGGACCAGAGGAGAAATATAGGATTAGACCGCCACGTCTTTTCCTTTGTAGTCCATTGTACTTTTTCATTATGTTATTTTATTTTTCCCCTCACCTCCTTAGTTGAACTCTGGCCTTCAAATTAAATGAACCAGAAGCAACCTCAGGTTTGCATTTCTGTCATCCTTTATTTAAGCCTAATTACTCTGAGGATGTTTTTCCCATTCTCCGTGGTGAAACTCTAGTAGGTAGGGAAACTTAGTTTAACCAAGGATTTGTAGATTTAGCACCCTCTTGCTCTTCCTGCAAGGTGTTTCATGGATTCAGATGTTATGGATTTGAAACTTGTTTTCAGTATTTCATCTCTTCTCTGTGGTCTCTGATGTTTGAATAAAACTGAATTTAATGTAATTTGTACAGGTATTACAAGCAATGGGATACCCAACGGGCTTTGATGCAGATATTGAATGTATGAGTTCCGATGAAAAATCAGATAATGAAGGCAAAAATGAAACAGTCTCTTCAAACTCAAGCAATAATACTGGAAATTCTACAACTGAAACCTCCAGTACCTTAGAGGTATATTTATATGTATTTTTTTCCTTAGAAAAAAAGGAGTATATGTAGACTGTAGAAAATTTGAGAGATGTGGAAAAGTATAAATAAGAAAATCAAAAGCATATACAAATGTATATATTCCAGAGATAGCCATTATTAATATTTTGGTTTATTCCCATCCAGCCTTTTTTTCTGGCAGTCATATTTTCATGCAGTTCTACATTTTGTTTTTTTTCCACTTAATTTTAAAAAAAACCTGTAAACATAGCTGTATAGTACACAACACATGAATGTATCCTAATTTAACTAGAATTTTCCTTTTGCTGGCCATGGAAGTTCCTTCTAGTATTTCACAGTTAAAATATATCAACAATATCAACAATAACTAAAGAGTGAAAAACGAGGCCTAGCAGAGGAAATTTAGGTTTATTTGAAGTTTATGCTGAGCTGTGGAAGGCAGTGGATCATTATGGAGCCGATCTAGCCTTGAGGAAGGCATAGCCTGATCTAGTATGTTCCTCAGACTCTGAGTAGGTCCTAACGTATGAGCTTATTGCCACAGATAATAGAATGGGACAGAAATCTAAGTACTGACTATACACAGCATTTTTGGGAATTCACGGGGTACTCATTCATTACATTCTTCAAGAAAAATTGGCTCTGAAGTAACAGCAAGAGGTTACATTAAGTTTTTAAAAAATTTTTTTTCATTTGGGGGAATGAGATCTATCAAAGACTGGACCATAATATTTTCAGTCTGCAAACCTTTTGTAGTGCCTGCTTACTGCCAGATGCTGCAGAGCCTCAAAATGTTCTCAGGCTAGAAGCACAAAAGACATATCCATAACTAATTACAATGTAATGTGATAAGTACCATGATGGCAAAGTGAACATAATAATGTAAAATCTCAAAAGAAGAAGTGATTAGGAAACTTAGACACCTGTAAAATCAAAGGGAGTAAAATGTGAGTGAAGTTTTAGGTGATGAGTAAGATTTTGCTATGTGGAGAAGAGGTGGAGAGAAGGCATTTTGGATCAAAGGAATAGGAGGTATAATGACCTGAAGTTGTGAAAGTACATATTTGAGAGGTGCCGGGTAGGCCAGTATGGAGGGACAGATGGAGGCTGAGGCCTGTGGAAGCCTTGCCTGACTTTCCATGTGATACCGTGGAGGAGCCCTGGCACCTGGCTTTTCAGAGGACCAGTCATTCACACGTGATTGTCACAGGCACGACAAGGTGTTTTGCTGGCAGTGTTATAAATACTTAGAGAAGAAAGAGCTCATTAATTATGAGACTTAGACTGTTTAGGGGAATTGGGAGAGAGAGGGAGCAGTGTGGGCTGCACTAACAGCAGCCACGTACATGTATGGTGCTTTTGGTAGGAATACATCTATGCTTTGTTGCTATATAATGTAGTAATGGCATGAGGGTTGGAGGGGAAGAAAGCCCTTATTCTTCATTTAAAATTAAAATATTAAAATGCAAATATTTATATGCCTTGACTCATTTTTATAAAAGTGATTTCAGATTTGGAAAGCAGAGAGTGATTACCGTAGACCTAGGTTCACAAATTATTCATTACCTTTTAAAGATGGAGACTGGAGGGGCGCCTGGGTGGCTCAGTCGTTAAGCATCTGCCTTTGGCTCAGGTCATGATCCCAGGGTCCTGGGATGGAGCCCCACATCGGGCTCCCTGCTCCGCGGGAAGCCTGCTTCTCCCTCTCCCACTCCCCCTGCTTGTGTTCCCTCTCTCGCTGTCTCTCTCTCTGTCAAATAAATAAATAAAATCTTAAAAAAAAAAAAAAAAGATGGAGACTGGCAATTTGCTTTGCAATTAAAATATAGATTACAAAAACTCTTCAAGAAGTGAGGTGTTGTTTGTTGGTTTGTTTGTTTTCTTATTGCAGAAGACCCAGGCATGTTTATTAAACTTGTCTTGAAAAGTTGTCCAGTGTTTCATTTTTTTCTCCTACAGCATTAACCACTTAGTAAATCAGCACAGAATAGTTTATTAAGAGACTCTTGCTGTCCATTGGATTTATATGTATACATAAGAATTGTTTGAGGCATTCATTTCTTCTTTTTTTTTCTTAAGATTTTATTTATTTAGGTGGGGGGAGAGAGAGAGCGTGCATGCTCGAGAGCATGAGCAGGGGGGAGGGGCAGAGGGAGAGGGAGAAGCAACTTCCAGCTGAACAGGGAGTTCCATCTCAGGACCCTAGGGTCATGACCAGAGCTGAAGGCAGTCACTTAACCGTCTGAGCCACCCAGGCGCCCCTGGGGCATTCATTTCTTTGTTCGGTATTTCTTGAGCAATTACTATGGTAGAATTACAGACATGATCTCTAACCTCAAAAAGTACTCAATCTTTGGGTCTCTCTCCTTTCTCAAAATTATAGGTGCAGTATTTTGTGGTTTATTTTTGGTGCTGCACTTCATTTGAGGCTTCACACTCTTACAGGAATTACTTTTTTTCCTTACTCTAGTCTTAATCCTTCCTCAAGTCAGTTCTTTCTGCTACTCCTGGCATGATTTTTCTACAACACAAATCTAATCCTGAATTTTCTAGATTAAAGTCTCTCCGTGGCTTATCATAGTTCATGATAAAGTCAAAGCTCATTTGCATGGCATGCAAAGTCCTTTATGAATTGGCACCATCAAGGGCGTTTCTAGTCAGGTCCTATCTTCCTGTGCTCACTCCCTTATACAGCCAAACTGCGCTTCTCGCCATTTCCCAAACAGATGTTCTTTTCTTCTCTTGGGCCTTTCCACGGCTGTTTCTTCTGTCTAGAATGCCCTTCTCCTTTGTTTCCACCTTATCGTGGTCTGGTGCTTACCTCTTTAAGGTTTAAGGTCAGGTTCGCATGTCACTTCCAGGAAAACTATCCTGATTGCCCTAGAAAATGATTGCTGCTTCTGTGTTTCCATAACATACATCTGTTGTATAAGATACACTGTTTTACAGTGATTATGTCTGTCCCTCCCACTATACTCTAGCTCCTTTGAGCGGGGAGTGACTGCTTTTATTCTTATTTTTAAATTTCAGAATCCATAGTCTGTAGCCTACTGTTTTTACCTTAGGTGCCCTTAAGTCTCTTTTGAGAGAACTGAGAGCTGTGTAGGAACATTTTCTTCCCATCTCCCAAGTTGAGAGTTATTTCTTCCTAACCCTAAAGATGAAAAACAGTGAATATTCAGGTGTCATGTGAATCTCAACTGTTCTGTCCACTTTGTTAGTCATTTAAAGTATTATTCTTAGATCATGAACACCACAGAGCAGACTCTAGAGTGCCATGTAATGGCAAGGCCACATTGCTCTTGAACAGTGTTGAGACAGCCCTACTTTAGGGGTAGGCTGGCTAGATGACTGACTGCCATGTTTATCGCCTGTAGAGTTTCCATACCTTTAAAGGTATTTTGTCATTTGTATGTAGAGGTGATCACATCCTAGTCCCTAAATGCTTTAAAGTGTAATTTTTGAGCCTCTTTTCAACAGAAACATAGTATAATTGTATTAATAAGAAATTTAATACTCTAAAATCTTACTTGGTTGAACCTCCTTTTAGGTAAGAACTCAGGGCCCTATCCTCACAGCAAGTGGCAAAAATCCCGTAATGGAGCTCAATGAAAAAAGAAGAGGTCTTAAGTATGAACTCATCTCGGAGACTGGTGGAAGCCATGACAAACGCTTTGTAATGGAGGTGTGTACCTAGATTCAAGCCAACCTTAGTTTTTGCCTCAAGGACATAGGCTATCCTGAGCTTATACGTAAAAAAGTTTTAGACTGAGTTAATTCTTATGGCACTATTTGACTTTCGGTGTTTTCTGTGTTGTGATACATTTAAATTAAAACTACATAGAGGAATTGCATGGGATAATTGCAGAGTATTGTTCTTGATTTTAGGTAGAAGTAGATGGACAGAAATTCAGAGGTGCAGGTCCAAATAAGAAAGTGGCAAAGGCAAGTGCAGCTTTAGCTGCCCTGGAGAAGCTGTTTTCTGGACCCAATGCAGCAAATAATAAGAAAAAGAAGATTATTCCTCAGGTATGAGTTAAGCATTAAACCTTTGCAATACTTTTGAAAAATACTACCAAAATTAAATTTCCTTTTCTGCCTTGGTGCCACTTTAGCTTTTTCTGAAGTTGTTTCTTTTTCTTGCATTTGGCATCCTTTTCTTTGGGTTAGATCATAAATACTGTAATACTCACTTTTCTCTGGTCTTCATAGGCAAATTATATATTTTAAAAAGGCTATTAGCATTATTTGGGGGCTTTCAGTCACTCTTGATGAAGTAGAGCATTGAGGGATCTGTACTTTTAGTGAGATGTTAGCATTTGTTTAGGGAAACTGCCAAGAGTATAAGGGCTTACTTTCATCAGAGTCTGCAGATGTGCTTCCATTTCCTTTCCAGTTTTGTCCTTTTGCATTATTTATTTTGTGTTTTCCTTTGGGGTGGCACAGTAGAACTTGGCCCTGTGTTCTGTTCATTCCTGACAATGGGCATGTCGGTCCTGCTGAATGCCCAGGACTGTAGAAAGGTCTTTAGAAAAGATGGCCTCCTAATTACATGTTTTTGGATAGCAGATCCTTCTATCCATTCATTTATGAATTCGCAAATATTTTCTAGTCATATACTATGTGCATGGTTGTGAGGGCAAAAGAGATACATTATTAAATATAAGACCGTTCTTTCCCTGGTGGAGAATGCTGGTGCAGTAATGTCTGAATAGATTATGTGATAGAAACAAGTCAATTAAAAATGTTTAGACTAATAGAAGGAAGATTACTTAAGGTTCTGAATGAAACTGTTTAGTTTCTTTTACATACACTGAGTGCACTGGCTAAGGGTAGAGTTGATCTTGTTTTATAGACGAGGAAATGAGGCCCGAAGAGATACAGACACTGCCCTTATTACCACAGGTAACTGATGGTAGGGTCTCTTTCAGCTAGGTTCTTCTCCTTCCAAAGACCGTGGGCATTCTCTTGCATATTATAGCCATCTTAGAAATTTGTCTTGTCTTGTACTTATTGTAATAAACATTGCTTACATTCTGGGATTCAAAATATAACCAAGGGTAACTTTTACTGAGATGAAATACAAATAAAGCATTTAAATTGCACTGGTAAACACGCAGAGAGAGAAGTGGTTTTATTTCCCTAAAACCTTCCAGGAAATGTGCTAAATTAGTAGAAAGATAATTGTTACCTTGTTTGTTTTGGTGTGTTTTTACCATGAGTTACATCTTGTATTGTGTCAGTTAATTTTAGTGTTTAAAAAGAGAGTGCAGATACGCATTAGGTAGTTAAGTTTGGTTCTAGTAGACAAGAGCTCGATTTGTGTGGAGTCACTCTACTGCCACCAGATTGTTACTTCCTGACTACTTGGACTAAACTGTTTTTTTTTTTAAAAAAAAAAAAAGATATCTACATGAGGTTCACCCATTTTTAGAAATTTTCCATACTAGAAGCTCTAAAACTCATGTGTTCAATACGCTTGACGGTCAGGAGGCAGTCTATTTTGGATGTGTGGGTTGCCTTTTTTTTCAGCCAGATAGAAAAATGGCTGTTCCCTGTGCATGATACATTTGACCTTGAAACTGTCTTCTGCCCAGTTATGCTTGTGGTAGAGGTGTTCCCATGAGGAATAAAAGATGATGGCTTTTCAGTGTGAGATAAATGTGTGTATACTCTGAATGTTTAAGCTGTTTGAAATATTGTTGACTTTATTCCACCCTGAGCTCTGAGGCTCTGCACCTTGGTTATAGGAGGGAATTCTGGTAGTTTTTAGTTTGAATTTTTGTTGTGTCTTTATATTTAAAAAATAAGTATAATGTTTCATTTAAAACTAGATATTCTTGATTTTCTTAAAATTTCAGTTTTAGAAAGGGATGTTTTAGCAGCCCTCTGTTCTGTTTGTCCTTATCTAGTATACTTTTCAGAGTTTGCTGTTTTCTCAATTGCTCTTTCTCCTCTGAAGTAAAACAAAGAGGATATCATTATCCTCATTGTATAATTAGTGGGAGACTCCGATAGACATAAAGATTTGTGATTTTTACCACAGTCCCATGGCATTTTAGAGCAAGAGGGGACTTTAGAGGTGGTATTTCTTTAATGATTGGTACATGTACATACACATACACACATACACACATACACGTAGAGCAGAAAATACAGACTCAGAGAAATCACATGACCTTCCTGGAGTTCTCATTTTTGGTCTTTCTTCATAGTTCTGTTTTTTTTGTTGTTGTTGTTGTTATTGTTTTTTTCTTTACTCAGGTTCACAGCTAATTCTTGGTGGTTTATTGGGTAGTTTTTGTTTGTGGGCGGAGAATTCAGTGGATTTCAAACCTAGGTATCAAGTGTCTATAATTAGTCAGGTCTAAAATGTAATGGATGTAATTTGACTACGAAATCTGTGTGTAGAAAATGAACTCTTTCTGAGTAACCCTCAAGTAAAAAGAAGAAGTTATTTGCATACTTTTATAAGTGCCCAAATATTCTTCAGAACAGCTCTGTTAAGGTAGGTGTCATTTTTATTTTATAGATGATAAAGGTTCAAGGTCATAGACACTCATTGACTCATCTACAGGCTCAAGTTTCTCATAGAAGTTGTGCATTAGAGAGATGATGGGGTGTTAGTTCTTATTTCTCTCAGTAATGAAAATGTGTTATTTTTAACAGGCAAAGGGTGTTGTGAATACAGCTGTGTCTGCAGCAGTCCAAGCTGTTCGAGGCAGAGGAAGAGGAGCTCTAACAAGGGGAGCTTTTGTTGGGGCTACAGCTGCTCCTGGCTACATAGCTCCAGGTAGAGTATAGCCTGTAAGAGGTCTGCCTCCTCTTCTGGCTTTGAAGAACAGCATCTCCTTCTTTATTTTCCAGGGTTATACACAGTCCCTGGAAACATAACACAGGTGTAAGATGGGTGTGCACGGAAATTCAAAAGAAGAGAATCTACAGAATGTCATAGGTTTTCTCCTGGAATCTGCTGAGTGACTAGAGGTGTTCTGGAGGGAGGTGACAGATGAGGAATATTGCACTTGGTTGAGAGGACATATTTTGATAATGAGGAAGCTAACAAATACTCCACAGATTGAGGAGTGTGGACACGTGAGCAGGGTGCATTCAGCGGGGACATGTAGAGGATGGTTGGGTGTAACAGGAGAGGAAAACTGCTGGCAAGGGACTCCCTCATTGGGGTGAAGCCTAGCATTAATAGCTTTCTTTAACTCAGTATTTGGGATCCAGCAAAGGTCTACAGAAGTACAAAAAGAGAAAAATGAAAAAGAAAAAAAGATGGGAAACTTATTTATCCAGAGCTTACTATACAACAGATACTTTGGTATAAATGATTTCACTTAATTGTTTTTTAATCCTCACAGTGTTTCCTCAAGTAGAAATTATTTCCGTTTTCTAGGTGAGGGAACTAAGGTTTAATGGGAGAAGGCAGCTAGCTCAGTCTGAGACATGTAGCGAACAGCAGAGCTGAGATTTGAATGTAGGTGTTTGCAGTTCTAGAGTTTATATTCTTTCCATTTCACCACATGGCTTGAGGGAGATGGGGGAAAAGATGCCCTCCTTCTGCCTTCTGTTCTAATACTTACGTCATTTCAGCAGTAGATGTAGAGCTGTCGCATTAAAGTCAGGTCGTCTGCCATATTGAACCTATGGAGCTTTTCACTTAACAAGTAGACTGCTTGTAATTGTTGATCGGGATGAAATTGTCATAAGGATTGGATCTTATACCATCATTATTTTTTTATGTAATATTGCTAAGAAGTTCACTTAAATTGTGTGTGTGTGTTTGCTTTCTTCTTTTCTCTCTTTCTCTCTCTCTCTTTCTCTCTCTCTCTCTTTCTCTCTTTCTCTCTTTCTCTCTCCCTCCTCTCTCTCTCCCTTCCTTCCTTCCTTCCTTCTTTCTTTCTTTCTTTCTTTCTTTCTTTCTTTCTTTCTTTTCTTTTCTTTTCTTTTCTTTTCTTTTCTTTTCTTTCTAGAATAGACTATTTGGGAAGTTCTTTGGATGATGTGGTTTTTGGAATTAGGAATTGTCCCAGTAGGGGCAGAGCTCAAAGATGTGTCATGGAATGAATATGTTCACTCATTGAAATAACATGTGCCTGCTTTGGGAGTTTACTGTCGTGCAGCTTATGATCTAAAGGTGAGACAGGCCAATCAGATAAGTCACTCACTTACCAACTGAGAAGGTTGTGATGAAGGACAAGGGTATGTTCTATGAGAGAATGTAACAGAAAAACTGGGTCTAAGATTTTGGGCCTGAAGGCCTTCCCGCAAAGAAGTGACACTTGACCTGAGCTTTAGAGAGTGAGGAGGCGTTAACTTGGAGAAGACTAGGGTGGACGAGTGTTGTACACAGAGGGAACAGCATGTGCAGAGACTCTGTGCTGCTGGGCCAGGGAACTCGGCTGGTGAGGATTAGAGGAAGGCCAAATGTCTGTAGTGTGGAGAGCACTCTGTGTTTTGGGTGGGGGCTGGTGGGGAGAGACACAACTGGGACAGGGAATGATTTGAGCTAAAGCTAGACACTCGGAACCCCAGTCCTGGAGGCAAAGGTGTGGATTTTGGCCTTAGAATGCTAAGTGTAGTGGGAAGTCGTGAAGGGCTCTAAGGAGAGAAGTGATGACATCAGACTTTTCTGTAAAGATCATCGTCTATAGTGTGAAGAATAGACTGTAGGTACAGAAGTGGATGTGAAAAGACAAGTTAGAAGGTTCTGGTAAACTCATAGCTCAGGCCAGAGACAGTGCAGGTATCTCCAGTGGGTGCAGGGAAGCAGATGGGTGGCAAGAAGCAACCGGATTGAAGATGTACTGCAGAAGCACAATTAATGGATTTAATGTGGAGAATGAAAAAGAGGGAGGTTTCAAGGATTTCTCCCAGCATTTTTAGCGAGAGGAACTGGGTCACTGAGTGTGCCATTTAAGGAGATGGAGAATGGTGAAGGATGAGGAGGAAGGGAGGAAAAGGTTCATTGGGGTTTTATTCTGTTTACGGGTCCCAAATTAAGACACTCTTCTGTGCATCTCACTGTTTCTACTGATATTTCATATTCTTTTGCCTCATCCAATCATTATTTAAAGAAAGCAGCTTTTATTAATAATAGGCAAGTTATTGAGATGAACTTTCTTGCCTTTGATTGCATGTTCAGTGGGGGCTTTGTCCATTTGGGAGTGTCTGCGGTCATGTGGTCAGAGACGCTTACCTCCCACCCATCATCTAGTGGCAGTGGTCGTGAAAGGCTTCGTGTGTGTCTGCTTGTTGCCAGGCTCGTTGGCTCTATAGTAGCTTTTCTCTTATGTCATCACATTGACCTCTGTGAAAGGCCTGTCTCGTGAAGCTTTTATTTTTTATTTTATTTTATTTTATTTTTTAAAGATTTTATTTGTTTGACAGAGAGAGACACAGCAAGAGAAGGAACACAAGCAGGGGGACTGGGAGAGGGAGAAGCAGGCTTCCCGCCGAGCAGGGAGCCCGATGCAGGGCTCGATCCCAGGACCCTGGGATCATGACCTGAGCCAAAGGCAGACGCTTAACGACTGAGCCACCCAGGCGCCCCTCTCGTGAAGCTTTTAAAAATGAAGTTCTTTTATAGCCTAGAGAAGATTCAGATTAGGTCAATTAGATTATGAATAGGTTATATGCCATTTGCGGAGTGTATTCTTGCAGCAGGGACTGTAGTAAGTGTTTTTACATACATTATTTAATTTCATTCCCCTGCCAACTCAATTACTATGGAAGACTGTGAGGCTCAGGGTGGTGAAATAACAGGCACAAAGTCACCTTGCTAGTGAAAGTGAAGTGGTTTGAACCCCCCACAGCCTGATAGGTGGCCAGCTTAATAGTTTTAGTTTCATCTCTCTTTAAGGAGGTTTTGGTAAAACCCTTGAAACTGTAGCCTTAGTTATCCAGCTTGCTACCTTTTCCTGGAATAGATTTGATATGCAAACTTTTTAAAGTATTAATTTCTCTTTTGGCCTCAGTTCCTACTGCATATCTCCAGCTGCTTCTTTCAGCTGCATTGTATCCTCTTGAAATCTAGGATTTAGGGAGCACTAAAGACTACAATTAAGACTAAAGACTAAGGCTACATTGTATCCCCAGTTTTATGTGACTTAAGTATAGACTGAAAAGTGAAAATTTCCATCTCTCAGGAAATGTTTCCGTTAGTCCCTAAAAGCAATTTACTTATTCAGCATACATTTGAGTGTTTTGTTTCAAGCAAGAGATTTGGACCTGGGCATTAGAAGATGATTAGCATCTGCCCCAGTGAATGCTTGAAGGTCATCTGGGGTAGGAACAGACGCTTGCATCAACAGTGTGCAACATGATGCAAGCTGTAACATTGGTGGCGGTGGGGGTGCAAAAAACAGCAAACCCAGGAAACTTCACAGAGGAGGTGATATTTGATCCTGATCTGCAGGATGCATTGCAGCTGGGCAGCTAGAGAAGGAGGAAAAAAAAAAATCCTTGCAAGCAGCAGAAATGATTACAGAAAAAGGGCTTGTAATGTTAAAAAGGCTTGATTTGTGTTTAGGTACAGTGTGAAGGGCCCATGTAGATTTTGTTCTATTGTAGAATCCAATTTTCCCTGAAGATTTACCCAAGCAATTCAGTATTTGTATTTTTAAAGTTGTTTTATTGAAAGATTAAAGATTGTAGCTTCTATTAGTACAGTATTTCTAATCCCTGCAGCATTATAGAGTAGCTTGGAAGATTTCTCATTTTACAGGCATGAAAAGGCAACTCAGAAGTTAAATGTTTAAGGACATAAAAGAAACCAGTGCCAGAACAAATTGGCTCAAAAACTTCTCTGTTCTTCAGACTTGTTTTTATGGACAGTGTGAGCCTTTTTCATAGGCACCAGAGGCCAATGTCAGTTTTGCCAACACTTACTGAGAGATGCTGTGCTGGGGCCAGGAATTCAGATACCAGGAGACATGGACCTTGTCTCCGAGCCCCCAACCCGATCTGCACTTGAGACTTCAGCCTGTCCTGTCACTGCTTTCTCAAGAGACCTGGAAAGTTCTGCTTTCCAGCTTTAAAGAAATTGGTAACTTGAGTGATTCTAAGTTTAGGGAGAGGAGACAAATTTGTTCAATAAATTATATTTAGTGAGTGGTTACTATGTGCCAGACCTTCTTCCAAGTTGCAGTGATACAAAAATGTCTAAGACTTGGTGTCTGTCATTCTAGTAGGGGACACAGACATGGAGTCGATAATTATAATACAGTGTCATAAGTGCAAGGAGAAAGACAGGATATCCTAGTAGATCAGGAGAATGTTATAGGTCATGCGAAGCGGGAATGGAGGGTTCGGCCATTCTGGGTATAGTTCTCATTCATCCAGCATCCGGAAGGAGTCCTCAGGGCCCAAGGTGCTGGGCCAGGCAGTACTTGTGAATTGGGCTGGTATCGGTTGGTTGCCCTTTGTTCTGGACTGACTGCTTTCTTCTTCTTTGCGCTAGGCTATGGAGCACCGTATGGTTACAGCACAGCTGCCCCTGCCTATGGTATGTACACCATCTTTCTGATTTCTCCTCTTAGCAATGCTGTCACAGCAATCTAAAGCACAGTTTGTATCCAGGGTTTCTTTAAATGAATTGGAGGATCTCAGACCTGTTCATTCTAGTGACCCAACTTAAATTCCCTTTGAAAACGCCACAACCTTGTGGTTCTCGGTTTGGTTGGAGTTGCTCTTCTCTCTGCTTTGCCTGATTGAAGGACTGCTTGTTCTAATTGCCTGTTTCTGACCATACTGAAATTAAATATTTTAAGTAGTTCTTCTTACAGCCAACTTACACTCCATTCAAAGGCTACTGAAGGGCCATCCCCGGTTTCCAGCTGAACTGCTCGCCGGTTACATGGCTGCATTGAAGTGTCTGGCTTGAAACCATCTGGGTGACTTGAGTTAGGGTTAGGAAATGTTCACTTCAAATCTGTAGCCATCATCCTTTCCCATGAAGTTTGCTCTAGAGGTGGCATCAGTGGGCCCCAGCGTGGTGACAGGGTGTCACCGGCAGTGTCTTTGAAGTGCTTCCCGCACAGTCTGTGCAGCATGTTACAAAATCATAGGAGTGTCTCTTCTCCCTCCAAAAATAAAAATAAAAGCATATGCAGAAGTGAACCTCAGTGGCCCTTTGGATAACTTTTGAATGAGGTTTATGTGGCAATGGAGGCAGTAGGTTTGGAGTCAGTGATATGCCCTCGTAGACATTTTCCCTAACTCAGGCGCTACATGTTACAGGTCAGCCATCTGCAGGATGTTTGCCATTGAGAGAAGAAGAGTGTGCGCACGAGCATGAGTGTGTGGGTGTGCACGTGTGAGTGCGTATCGGTGCGACCCTGGGCTGGGCGTGCACGTGTACAGTGGGGAAGGACCTTGAATGTCCCGCTACTCGTGGTGGTAGTCCTCCACACGAGCCTCAGGGCCCTTCATTATGCTTTCTCTCTTCATGCATTAGCTTTTCCATTTTTGTTCAGATGAAAATGATGGGTCCTTAAGACACTGCTAAGTGGAGGCTCCATTTGATTTCATAACTGTAAAAAATAAGTAGAAAATGAACATGAACAGTTTGACCACTTTCCCCATTAAGATAGACTGGAAAGATGTGGAGAAGCTGCAAGGGTCAAACATTTGGGTGAGTCTTCTCTATGGCAAAGTACCAAGTCTGGGGTCTCATCCTTGACCTGAATGTCTCCTCTGGAATGCTCAGGTTTGGTCAGGACTTCCCCAGAGTCCCCAGATCCCCCGATGTGGGGTGATAAGGAATTGAGAACTCATTCGAGAAACTGTTTTCACCCAGAATTTGTTCTAAATTCAAATTCTCTAGCTCCTTTTGTTTTGGCCATTTGCTTTTACCATGCAGCCAACTTCCTGGATATCCTGACCACCTCATCCCTCCTGTGAATTAGGTCTGGGCAGTTGATCCAAATACATTTTGACTCACTAGTCCCATTGTGGTGTGTCTTGTGTGAGCGCCAAAGCATCTGCCTGCTAGGGCAGGTTGTTAATTCTTTGTCTCTCTTTCAGACATCGTAAGTCTCACATTCTTTAGTACAGGTTTACTGAGAGCTGAATTTTTCTCTTGAAAACACGGGTGTGTCTAGGCTTTAAGCTGCATTCATGTTTTTCCTCAGTCTTTTTTTTAATTTTTCTCTCTTGTGCCTCCCTTTCCTCTAACATTATACTTTCACCCTGCGGCCTCTGAGCCCCCCACTTCAGAAGGCTCCTCTCTTCCATGTGCCATATAACTGACTTCCAAAGCTGGTGAAATTTGATGCCCCCATTTTTCACATAAAAGATTTGGTTTTTAAATGTTACTGTGATGCCAACCTACTAAAACAATGCTTTATTTTGGCTGTAAGGTAAATATGTCTTTTGGCCTTTGTAAAGCTGTTGCATGTGGGGGTAATTTCCCTCTGATCATCTGGTGCTCTTGAACACCTGCTGTTGCTGCTTTGTGATTTCTCCATAGGTTAAATACTAGAATAGAGATAGGAGCAGATTTCAAATCATGCTTGAGTATGCAGAAGTCTGTGAGGCCACAAGAACTTGTTTATTACAAAATTAAGAAAGTAGTTAATCTTTCCAGATTTGCCACGCCAATACTGGCAGTAGCCGTTAAGATAAACCCCTGGTCACGACTCCGGCTGGAGCTGTCTTTCCGGGGAGCTGAGGCCTGCACAGAAAGCTGTGCTTTGCGTCTTGACAGTCATCCCTGTTTCTCCTACAATATGTGATGTGCCAAATTGAGAACAATTACGGATTTCTAGAGTCCCTTGAGAATATTCATCAGTGGCATTGCTTTTGATCTTTAGAATTCATGGCCGCTCACACAAATGAAATTGCTTTCTGAATATCATTCTTCCTGTGATATAGCCATCTTAATTTTGAGTGGAAAATACCAATTATCAGAATATTAGCAATTTCAAAATAGGAGATCTGTGAGAGGTTTGTGGGTCTCCTCCAGAATGCTTCATGTTGACTGACTAATCTGGAAAAGGTTAATGATCATTACTGTAAGATATTTTTTTACCTGAAATTTTTATTGGATTATTAAACTTATTTGGAGTCCTCTCCGTTTCTTTTCTCTGTAGGTTTACCCAAGAGAATGGTTCTGTTGCCCGTTATGAAATTCCCAACATATCCTGTTCCCCACTACTCATTCTTTTAGCAAATGACAGAAGCTAATTCCTATTGAACAACAAATACAGTACAATACAGAATGTTAGAGCAAAAGCCTTTTTATCCTGCTTTCTTTGAACACATACTTGATCAAAATTATTTGTAAAGAACATCTTTCCTACTTTTTGATTTTAACAAATGCAAATTTAGTTCTCTACAACTTGAAAACAAACAACAAGGAACTAGTTCTGTGAAACGGTACCTCACTTCCGGAAAATACCTTATACCAGCCCTTCTGTCCTAGGGAAATAAGTCTAGCAGTGCAGAGGTTGAGTCTTAGGAGGAGTATCAGATTATGTAAAATTAAATTTGTGAAGGATGTATAGAGTCTCAAACACTGATCACAAATAAACTGCTTTGTTGTAACACAGAGTACTGCCTGGTTCCTGATGCAGTCACCGAGTCTTAGCTCTGATTGATATGTATTTGCCCAGGGCACTGGAATTCGGGCTGTAGTTATTTTTTTTAATACAATAGAGACTTTTCATTTAAACTTTAACTTTGTAAATACTGAAGTGTGTAATTAAAGCCAATAAAATATGGGTTTGAATATTGTTTTAGCTTATTATTTTTGATATGTTTTGGTATCAAATTACAAGGAATTGAAAACTAATAATAACTTAGCCCTAGAAACCCATTCATTTGTAAGGAAACTGCTAAAACAAAGCAAAGGCAATTGTTAGTTTGAGCCAGTCTACTTACTTTGTAAGCCCTTTGTACTGCTGGACAAGGGCATCCCCATGAGAAAGGTATATTCTGTGATCCGAGCATTGCTTCTTAAAATGATGGCACTACCCAGAGATGGGGAAGGAGGAATGTGATTTAGTTTCCTAATTTCCAAGTTTTAAAAGAGAATAAATTAATCGATCAATCACCCTCTCTTGTTCTTGTGGCCTTCTTCACTCTGTAAGATACTGTGTTCACTTCCCTGGTTTTTTTCATGCAGATAGAAGATTAGCGATTTTTCTGGGATTCATGGAAAGGTCTCTTTTCCTCTTCAATTACATCAGAATCTAAAGCAGCAACAGGGTCCCCATAAAAACTTGCTCTTCGATTGTCCCAGTTCTTGTTGAGTGCTGCTGTGAAAAGTGACAGGTTTCAGCCATGGGTCAGCATTTATTTTTAAGTTTTTCTTAAAATTTATCTGATTAAGCTGGTGAAAAATGATCAGTTGGTAACATTGTGCTGTCCTGTAAAGGGTGCAGACCTGAGCCTTCCCCTGCATTCTCGCCTTGTTTGGAGAGCCTATGATGTTACTAGAAGGTAATGGTTTCATTAAGGTACTCACCCCCATGAAGGCACCAGTGTGGTCCCGTGTCGAGATTTCTAAGTTGCTGTGTCTTAAAAATGTCTGTTTTTAGTACGAATTAGCTTCCCTCTTCCCTCTTCCCTCTTAAATTCTGTTTCTCAGAGCCCAATAGTGCCCATCAGTGAGAATGGGCTTTGCAAAATATAGCAAATTTATGTACCAGATTTCTTTCGGACCGCTAAATGAGAATCAGATGGGCAATTTAAAATAAACGTTAGTGTCGCTTCTCAGATGTGGATTTATTATCACAGTGGCTTGTTACTTCTCCTTGACCTTTAGTCTTTATTAGTGGTGGGTGATACTTTAATAAAACCTCATCACTTGCTAGAAATAGCTGTGAACTTACCATTCTCATCCTGTGCATTAGTGGCTAGACATAAACCTGAGGGCCCATTGCAGCTGGGAGTTTTCATGTTTCACTGATTCATTTTGCTGACCTATGGATGAAACAGAGCCATCACTGAGAAGAAAAAGCATGGCTGGTAGTGTCCAGTTTTTATTAATTCAATATTTACAATAGTCCTCTCTGTGTTTGGAATACTATTAATTGGCAGCTGCAGCCAGATTGTTATTTGAAATTGATTGTCAAATTTGCATTCCAAGTTGGAATCTCTCTGGAGATTTCTCTTTAGAAAATTATTTTGAAGTAGCTGACTCAGCTTCATAATTTAACCCCTCTATGATGGTGAAAAAGGGAGCTGTGCTGTTTTCCAACATGATGGCAGTCATTTCAAATGGTTTCTACCAAGTCTTTTTTTTTTTTTTTTTAATTTTGTTGTTTGTTGGAAGTTACTAACCATGTTGTAAACCTGCCCAGTTGCTGCAAACTTTTACATTTCTCTGCTTTACTTAAAATAATTGAGCTGTCAGTCCTTTGTTAGAAGTGGTAACCATGCAAGTTCAACTGTTGAAATTTTGTAATGAATTAAGTGTCCCCCTCCCCCCCTTCTGCCCTCCCCACCCCTCCATTTTGTAATGAAAATTCCACTTACAGCTGAAAGAGCAGAGAAATATAAATGAAGCTCTTGGCTTCACCAAATTCTGTGACATTAACACCAAGTGTTGCTTCTCTGCTCTTTTCTCCACTGTAGGCGGTTTTTTCATTGACAGCCCCTATTGCCAGCCTCTGAGCGTCGCGCCACTTATTATTCACTTGGGCCCTCAAGATTTCTTCTCTGACTTCTAGAACCATCAGGTTGTCTGGCTTGAAATGGCAATTTCTGTCTTGGTCTTAAGAGCATTGTGACCCTCTGAGGCTTTCCAGCTTTCAGATACACCACTCTGACACCTTCTTTTGGAAAGCAATGACTGAGCATTTTAAAGAAGAGCAATACTTTATTCAAAGCCACGGTGTCTGTTTTAAAACCTTTCCTTTGGAAACCTAGCAATATCTGTACTTAACCCCTCCTAGCATAGTCTCTTGTCAGGGAGTTTACAGACCATTGTAGAACTTAGACTCAGTGTGTGAGCTGTGCTATCTCCTGACAGTTTTTAAACTTTTGTAGCACATAAACTGGGTAGTTGCATTCCTGACTGCGTCAGTTAGTGCTTTTATAATTTCTCAGAATTAGGGGTCCTCCTTGAAGCCTTATTCTTTGCATGGGGGCTGGAGCCCAGCCAGGGATGTGGCCTGCAGCCCGGGTCTCTTCTGGCTGCAGGAGCACCCCCTCTCTTGTGCAAGGTAATTGGTCCAGTAGATTCCCAACATACCTCATGCTGACTAGATGCAGTGCATGGTGCGTGCAGCAAGGAGTCCCGAGTCGTTTGTAGTCTTTCTGAAATCGTTAATCTGGGAACAAACCACTTATAGATTTTTCTGCTATTAGCCTTTCCTTCTTTTTTTAAAATTCGGGTGAATGTTTGAAAATCATGAATCGGTCAGTCACCGTTATTAATTGAAGAGCTGGGAATACCTCGTTAATGTATTTTTAAAACTAGTGTTGGACCCTCTGTGTATTTCAGGTTAATACTTTTAAGCAGTTTTCAGCACGTTTATCTCACTTTATTCTCGTTCTCCTCGGACCTCCGTAGCCATATCACTTGTATAAAATAGGCTGAGATCTAGTGACTGTAAGCTGTGGTCTCAGTAAACAAAGGTAAGCTCTTTTATTTTCTGATTAAAGAGAAAAATAACTAAAAGTCAATGAACACAACGTGCATATATGACAATCATACAGGATGTGTTTGATCTCCTAGGTCTTATGTCATCATATTACCTTTAAAATTTTTATGATCTAAATGTAAAATAGTTATTTTCAGCATTTGTTTTAATACCCTTGTAATTACTTTTTATTCAAGAGAGACATTTCACTTTTACGAGTTAAATGTGTATATGTGTGTAGAAACTTATGATATTACATATATGTGAATTACACACCCGGACATGTTTAAATAAAAGAATTTGGTGGTGGGAAGAGTTCACCTAAGAAGACTTTAATGTCAGGGCACCCTTTTGGCCAAAGTGCTAGAATTTCATAAGCAGCAAGACTGGTGACAATGCTGGTAGGATCCATTTATATGTAGCTGTTAAACAAGCAGAGGATCAAAGTGCCAATTTCTCAAGGAGAGAAACTTCTCTGAGAAATGAAAATCTCTGATCTGTGTTGTATGCCCTAATACAACAGCAGCAAGAAGCCATAAAAGAAAAAGCAATAGCAAATGAAAAAAAAAAAAACAAAACCAAAATATTAAGGTAACTATGGAAAAATATGTAATTGACTGAGTTAAGCTAACTTTGCAGAACCAACTTTGCAAGACTCAGAATGGTAAATACCCAGTCTGCAGAGACTAAATAGACAATTCATCTGTCTTTTCCAGGTTAGGTAGCTAGATGATTGATTTCCCACCTTACTCAGCCATCATGGAGTTCATTTAAAAGATGTGAGGGTCAGGCCAAATATTTTAGTAAGGGTTTGCTTCATTGAGTGTGTCCCATAAATACATTTCATATGTGTTAGATGTTCTTTGCTGAGGCCGTATTTGATATATAGAGATTAAAATGAATTTTGTGTTTTATTTGTCTCTAAGTAGCAGTTTTCTTGTTACTACTAACTTTGAAGGTTGCTGGAACAACGTTTTTTCCCCATGCAGTATCTGTATGTACGTCGCATGTGGCTTTGGCATCTCTAGAAGGTTGTATGAGGTCTAGCGGACTAGTACTGCGTACGTTCCAGTCCTCACGAGCAGCCGAGTGCCCTGACGTGCCGGGTCCTTCTCTGGGTACTAGCGAAACAGAGGCTCTGCCCGGTGAAAACATGCAAGTCCGAGAGTCTCCTTGTTGGTGGAATTGGGCTGATTATAAATCTCCTAGGTTGGGAGACAAATGATGCAGTAGTAGCATCAAAAGATAATTAACTTGGTTAGTAGTTTATTTATAGATTATTTAATATTATAGGCCCTCTGACATCACTGAACTGGCCATCGTTTGGAAATTCACTCATTTTAAATATTTCCCTGGCAGTTTTGAGAGCCTGAAACCAACTCTGGTTTACGTTCATGGACCTCTCTCCAAGTAAGTGAATGGAATGAAATGAAGAACAAGTATTCCAGTCCTTTTTAAGCAGTTTTTATAGTATAGCAGAGACCAAAGTGGTTGCTTTAAACACTGACCACATTTTTTCGATGACAAGTGATCGTGCTTATAATCAATCATTCATTATAACTTACCTGTTTATTAGATTTTTTTTAATAACTGCGGTGGAGGCAAATCTTCAGTAGTGAGTTAGGGGAACGAACTAAGATTTGCAGATGTGCCCCCACCCTTGCACCCAGCAGTTAGATTTCTAGGAATCTAGAGCCCTAGGAACTAGGGACATTAGGAGCAGTTAAAGCTGAAAACCTGCTCTGTGAATGGTCCTCCTGTACCTCCTGCTCAGCACAGGCCAGTGCGTCCTGGGACGGCGGGGGGGGGGGGGGGGGGATCTCTCTTAAGTCCTCCGAGCAAGAAAGGTTCTGCTGTATTTGTACTTGCAAGCTATAAGGATCTGATGCCACACAGTGACTGTAGGTTTCTCAGTGTTACTAGGAGGCCTGGAAGGGAGATAGGTGGTAACTGAATAACAACCACAGCGTCAGGAAACTACCTACCGCTGAGATGAGTTTCAGTATTGGTGGTTCTCTAGCAGCAACTTACAGAGCACAAGCTAGGACTTCTTATGTAAGAATAAGTCTCTTTCCCTTCCTCATCCCATCTTCCAGAAAGACCGTTTTAAGTCAAGAATTCAAGTTGAGTTAGTTGTAAGAATAGATATCCTTTCCCACATTATCATTTTAGGTAGGAGCTAACAGCTTCCATTGATACTTGATGCAGTGATCTTTGGAGATTTTAAAAAATAGCTCCATAGTGCAAATTAGGTTATGTAAGCTTTACAGCACAGCTAGAAATAGGGAATAGAAATCATGTGGGAATCTGGGCCAAAGTATTTCTCTCCCTCCAGCAAATTCCTGTGGGGCTTGGGGATTAGATGAGTTAATACACGTAGAGTGCTTGGAATAGTACCCGGTGCACAGTAGGTACTCCGTAAATGTTGATGGTTCCTACCATGGTTGGCTGAAGGGACAGAAGGTATGTGAGGGAGGCAGCAAGACTGTGCTGGTGGATAGCAGAGAAGTGAGCACATGGCCTGCTTGGGGGGGTTGGGGGGGAGCTGCATTGGTTCCTTGGTATTTGCAGGCTGGGGGTGCTCCCACACTTTGAGAGAGGACCCCTAAACAGGAAGGATAAAGCAACACTTAGGTAGTGTGGGGAGGTCGCTGCAGATCCCCGCTGACTGAAAATGCACGTGTTTCTGCTGTGGTGGACTCACTGGCTGGTCTGCTGCCAGGGGGCCATACGTACTCGCTTGGGCATTTAAGTGTGCTTGGAACTTCAAAACGGCTGAGCTTAGAATATCAGCCTGCTGATTCCAACTTTCCTCCCAGTGCATTAATAAGAAAAAAAGAGGTGTGTGATTACAGCTAGCCATGGAATCCAACATCCAGAGCTCACCAGTGTTTGGCAGGTAGAAAGCAAGTTATTATAAACCACGGGAAGAGAAGTCTGGGTGGCATGCTTAGAGGGCCGCTGACTCCCATGCGTCTCTTTGTAGCATTCCTGCAGCTTCTCTCTCCTGGTATGCTTCAGCGCTTTGGGACACATCGGCACTCATCCGCACAGGAGGCCTCCCCTGCGTGTTAATCTTAGAAAGAACTCATCTGCCTGTCCATCCATCTCTTTCTCTTTTCAGTAAAAGGAAAAATGGGTAGATGGTGAGCCGGCGCCGTTGGTTTGAATATACAGCTTGCTGTCTCTTTCTGCGCAGGTGCAGGCATCCCTGTCTGTTGGCAGGTGGTACGCTAGGTGGGGATTCCAGATTCAGTTCTCTCTCTCTCTTTTTTTTTTTTTAGGTTGAATTCTGTAACGCTCTAAGTTTATAAAACTGTAGACAGGGACTGAGCATTACCTTTAAAGGCAAATAAGATGGATTGGCGTGATAGTCAAGAGGCTTTTTTTTTTCTTCTTTTAATGGTACCAACGGTCTGTCTTTATTGTTTGCAACGGGAAGTGAAAAGAAGAGGGGACACAACAGCCCCAGCTCCAGGGGAAACTCCAAAGACCTTACTCTCTTCACTGTAGCCCCAAAGCAAGAGGCTTTTCTTAAATCCAAGAGATATTTGTATAAATAATGTCCTGGCAGAAGTCACCCCATTCCACAGCTGTGGCTGTTTGGTGGAATCTTTGCCTCATTGAACTAAGGTTGAGGGAGGGCCTCCTCCCCCCCCCCCCGCCCCCCCCCCCCCCCCCCCCCGCTTTGACCAGTCAGTTTTAACATCTTAATTCCTTGGTCCTTCTAAGGAGGGTCTTTGTCTTTCTTGGCAGAACTTAGCCATTCTGCGAACTGTGCTGCCTTTGCTGGGGGGGCTTCGTGGAGATTGCCGCCATCTGCCTGGGCAGCTTAAGGGAGACTGGGTAGCGTGTCCCAGCCGGAGATGTATGCTCGTACCTCTCCTGCTGCTTCTGGTCCACACGACGTAACCATTAGCCTGGCTGCTGTGCAGACATTCTCTTAGCACTGCCTCGGGGCCCAGTCTCTCAGCCTTGGTCTGGCTTCGAAGACCTACCTGGATCCTCTGTGAGGTTGGGATGAGTGGTCTCTGCATTTACCTGTCAGCTAAATGTTTTCAGGTGATGAAGTCAATAGTAGCCTTCAGTTTAAGTTATTTTGGGCTGTGGGCAGCAGTAGATTGAAGGAACAGAAGAAAGAAAAGGAAGAAATGCTCAAATCACTCTCTTGTGTGGGCCAGGCACTTGGACATTCTTCTCGAACAACCTTCTCAGGTGGAATCTTATTTTACAAGAGAAGAGACTGAGGCTCAGAGTTAAGCACTAGAGCTAGGGATGAAACCCCACTCTGTTCGATGCCAAAGCCTCTTTCCACCACACCATGCACGCTGTGCGTGCCGTGTGGCTGAAGGGGAGGGGAGCGCCGTGTGGCAGGAAGGACGTGTGCAGGCAGTGGGCTGGGCCAAACGGGGCCTCCGGGTCACAGGGTCTTGGCTGATAGGCTCCTGTGCTGGAAGCCAGGCTCTCTGACTTGAAGTTGTTCTGGACCAGATATCCTGGCCTTTTAAAAATAGGGCTATTTTTTATTGGACCAATTGGGTAAGTTGTTGAACAAACCGGAAAGACAGGCTAGAAGATGCGAGTAAGGTGTGGCTGCATAAACAAAGGAAGCGCTTATATTTCAAGCTTGTTTTTCTGTTTGAATATCAATGAGAACATGAGGTCTGTGTCTGCATTCAGCTAATGCTTTCTGAGGCGACGCTCTGCCTGGCCTGAGACTGGTGATGGGGATGCCTTAGAAGATTTGAGCCAGGCCCTAAAGCCTGGCGAGCTTTTGACTCACGGGGTAAAAAGAAGAGAGGGTCCTGGAGGGCCGGCAGCCCAGGTTTGGAGTGTGCTGGGGGGCTGTCCCCGGGTTAAGCACAGCTGGGGGAGTGGCAGGTGGCGGGGGCCTGTTCTGATCAGCAGGACTTCCCCCGGACGAGGCTTCAGGACAGGCTGCCAGCCTGGAGGCAGCAGGCAGCCCCCTAGGCTTGGCGGTGCTTGGTGAGCCCCTCTGGGGTGGCTTGGAGGTCTGAGCCACTCTGCTGCTCCTGTCTGCATCTCCCGCTGCCGCACCCCAGGCCGCAGGCTCCTTGGCCGGTGATGGCCTCCTGGCTCTCTGCCTGAGGGATGGAGGCCGAATCCTCTCCAGGGCAGAACGGTCCTCCCTCGCCGCAGGGCATGGTCCCTGGCAGTTGGCCGTTTCTCGGCGCCACCTGCCATGATGCTGGCGGGGAGCAGGAACAAGGAACTGTTTTACACCCAGGTTGCCCGAGTTCCAGAACGGTGCCTTGTGTGTGAGGAGGGTGAGTACCTGGCACAGCACTGCCTTAGCAGCTGATCTTTCCCAGCGGCCACCCCGCGGCCGCGCTGCCCCTACGGTGTGGACAAGCCACAGCGCGCGCACAGCTGTTCCCACTGCGCAGGCGAGGACGTGGAAGCCCAGACGCCTCGCCAAAGCACCCAGCTTGTTTGTGGCAAAACACTGTCACTCCAAATAAGTGAGTTTCTAACCACACAGAAGAACTACCATGGCTGCCACTGTCTTTGGAGCGAACAGAAGCCTGTTCTTAGGGATGAGATTTGAACTACACCACAACTGTGGGACTAGCAATGATCTCCTTTTACAGATGAGGAAATGGAGGCTTCGCCACAGTGACTTCCCACAGATTATACAGCCTGTCACCGGCTGGGCCCCCCAACCTGATAGTGCTCGCTGTGCCCGGTGCTGGTGGTTGGGGTCCCCGCGGGGCACTGCCACCCGCCCCGTTTCCCAAACCGCCTGGCTCCCGGGTCCCCTGCTCGCTGTGATGCATTCCACGGACCTCTCGTCCACGCTTCTGGACTAGATCCTCTGTGGTTTGAAACAAAATAAGCAAAAACCTACGCTCCCCCTCCCTCCCTTCCCCCAAAAAAGAATCCAGACCTCGGGCTTACTCTTTCTCTGGTTCCTTTGGAGAACTGTTTGTGAGCTTGCTCCCGGGCCAGGGGATTGACTGGTTAGCCTCAGCTCCCTCTGTTTCCATACCGTCTTTTTGCACTGTAACTGAACTCCATAACGAAGTGCAAACCAGTGATTGCTATTGGAGAGACCCCCAAGGGTTGGTGGGGGGTGCGGGGTGCTGTTAGAAGTGTATTTTCCATATTCAGCTTCATCCATGTTTTGGCTGTCGTCTGTCGCCTATCCCTGCCTAGGCCTTCAGTGTGTGCTCCAGCCAGAGGGGTCACCCTCACAGTGACACATTGCTCAAGTGCTCTGATGCTGGGATCTCGTTGGACCCTTCATAGTGGAGATGGTCTCAGAAGTTGCTCAGCTTTTTAACACCCCTCATGTCCTTAGAGGCTACATAAGGGAAATATTGTGGACATGTAGGAGGTGAGAAACCTCTGGAAGGGGGCACCTGGGGAACTCTGGAAAGCTGAAAGCCCCTCAAAATGAGATTCATTGAGGCTGGGGAAGGAGAGGACTTATCCATCAGCGATTTTAAAGGGTTATATTTACTTGTATCTGGCTCCAGAAGGGTAAGGATGGTTATAGGAAGCCAGTTGGGCAATTTGGGCTAATGTGTGCCTCCCAGATGACAGAGCTGCCCTGGGAGATTAGGTGTGGTGAGAAATGAGGCCTATGGTACCAGGAATGTTTAAGCAAGCTAACTGTTAGCATAGTGCAGAGGAATTTCTTCCATTGGGTATCAAGTTTGCACGGAACACTGATGTGTTTGGGGACACTGCCAAGACCACTTCTCCCCTCTTGGGCATATGGATTCATTGGGAAACCTTCACTGTCACCTGCTGCTGTTCACCAGGCTCTGTGGTGACCCCGCAAAAGGAATAGCTGGGAGAAAATGTCAGGATTTTCAGCTTAGACAATGGAGTAGAAGGCGAAACCGCTGACCCAAGATGGAGCGCACAGGAAGAGGGAGGGGGTGCCCAGGGGCTTGAACAGATCAGAGCCGTCTTCTGTGGTTGGGAAAAACTCTGGCAGGCCTTCCCCTCAGTGCGGGGGCCAGGCCTGTGAGGAGGCTGAGGACCTGGGCGGTTCTGACTGGGGTGGCAGAGTCTTCCCCCTGAGACGGGCACCCGAGCTGGATGGGAGTCTGCCAGGAGGGTCGTGAGGAGAGCTCTCAAGCGGGGGGTGGGAGGGGGGCGGCAGCGCATGGCGTGCACAGAAAGGGCATGGCCTTCTGGAGCGGCATGGTTACTTGCTGACAGGAACTGGGATGGTTAGAAGGGTGAAGTGGCAGATGGGATGTGTAATTTGGAGTCACGTGGGGGAAGACCCTGGGTCCTGTGCCCTTTGGTGATTATCCTCTTCCAAAATGGTGAGCGAGTTCTGGAGGGTTGATCTGGACAGTTGGATGGGGCAGGACTGGAGGCGGGAGACAGGGGCTGCCACAGATAGAAGAATGGGGTCTCTTCATAAGCCAGGCTCCTCGCCTGGACCGAGCGAGAGGGTGGACCTGATGGCTCCCAGCGGGGGATCTGCCCGAGCACTTCTCCTGGGCCTCTGTTCAGTAGGTCACTGAGAGGACAGTGGTACTTGGGGCCAAGATGGGGAAGGTGGGGGAGGGAGGAAGGTGCTGGCAGGGCAGGAGGGGGTGATGGGAGAGGGTAGCGGTGTGGCAGGGACCATCTCCTTTGGGCTGGGAAATGGGAGTTTGGTGGGCCCAAGTCCTCATTGGTGTGAGGTGTGAGCCCTCTTGTGCTCTCTGGGAGGCATCTCTTTGGCAGTGGATGGAGAGGTTTGCAGGCTGGTCAGTCAGCATCTTATCCTTTTCCTGAGTTTCTGAATGTCTGCTCTGCTGGGTTCGCCAAAGGGAGTGACGAGTACTGGGTGTTCATTCGTACAGCGGCCTTCTGTTTTTTTTAAAAAGTAATGCTTTGGTTTCTTTACCTGGGCAAGGTCCAGGGCTCACTGGATTCCACATCTATAGAACATGGTCTTTAGCTAGTGGGAAGTTGCAGACTGACTTTACGGAGGACTTTAAAAGGGGGGAAACACCACGTAAGATTTTGGTGTCTAGCTCAGGACAGGTGGCTGGCAAAACTGAGGAGTCAGGGTGGCTTTCTGCACCTCTGTTGTTTCTGTAGTTCTGCTGGGGATTAAGGCTGAAGAGGCAGCTACAGTTTTGAACCTTCGGGTCAGAGCTATGAAAGGTTACAGGTGCCCTGAGACACGGATTCCCTTCAGCCTTTGGGGTGGCCAGGACCCCAGGGCCAAGTGTGTCTAACTACAAGCGGCGTTGTCTTTTTACCCCCGCGGGCCACCTTATATCACCTGTGTGTGTCATAGGCGGAAATGTGTGGGAGCATTGCCTTAGCCCTGGTGTTGGCAACTTTCTGGAAGGGGCCAGACAACCTTTCAGGCTCCGTGGACCATTCGCTCTCATGGCTACTTTGCTTGGCTGTGGGAGCAACAAGAGTGGCCAGAGACAGTGGTGCATAAACACAGCATGGCTGTGGTCCAACAAACTTTAAAAAAAACAAAAAACAAAAAAACAAGAAACCCAACAGATAGTGGGCCGTATTTTGCCAACCCGTCTTAGATTGTAGAGACTGCTCACCCCTTGGCTTATTCATGATTGGAAACTTCCATCTGCTGCCTGGCCCATCCATCTTCCCACAAGGGCTTCCTGAGAGCATCTGTCCTATGTGAGCGCTGAGGAGCAAGGGGCGGTCCTGGCCCGTAAGGACCACAGGTGTGTGTGTGTGTGTGTGTGTGCGCGCGCGCACGGGGGCGGGTAATGCATTGACAGGTGAGAGCAAAATATAGAGCAGAATGGGGCTCGGGAAGTCCAGGGTGACAGGGGCTCAGGGTGAACCAGGAGAGCCATAGGAAGGGAGCTGCTCTGGAGAGGAGAGGGAGAGTGTGTGGAACACCGGGGACCGTGCAGTCCCACAGGTGCGTCGCGCCCGGCCTGGGAAGGGCCCTGAGTGCCAGGCCAAAGAGGGTGGACCTCATTCTCTGGGTGCTGGGAGCCAGTGAGGGGTTGTGTTCAGGACGGTAAACTGATCACAAATGCATTTTAGAAACATCACTCTAGTTGTGGAAGACCAGATCTGTGGTTACAAATGGTATCGGTTTTTTCTGGGCTTTTTAGGCAAGATTTTGGTTAGAGTTGGTATTCAAGTGGGAAGGAGAGGTCCAGAGAGTTGGTGTTTCTGGCCATTGGCTTTAGGGGGCAGGGAGCACACTCTTGACCTTGGCAGGGCTTGATAAAATTCTCCACGTCCAGGCCTTTTCTCTCTCGCTGTCCTAAAGAACATGTAAAAGGGCAAGACAAACATTCGGTCTCAAGCCAGAATTAGATACTGGCCTGGGGCCTTGGTGTGTGAGGGTAGAATGAGCTCCCCCTCACTTCAGAATTGAGTTCGTGGCAGGAGAGCTTCACGCAGTGGACTCCTTCCTGTCTGCATGCAGCCAGCCCACAGAACAGGCCTTCGGAGAAGCACACACGATGGTCGGGACTCTCAAGAAGCCTGCTAACTGCTGAGGCAAGATGTGTGTCACAGGCTAAAGCCAACCCTGCCGGGGGCGTCACAAACTGCCTGGGGCCGGGCCTTCCGTCGGGTACAGGGAAGATTGAGGTGAGTCACTCACGGTGCCTGCCCCAAGGTGCTCGATGTAGCTGGGGCAATGAAAACAACTGTAAATGTACATAGTGCTTTCTACTTTCCAGATCTGCGGTCCGTGTCCGCTCCGCCCCCCCCCGCCCCCCGCGGTTTCTGGGCAGGTGAGGGGAGCAGCTGTATCTGGAGCACTGGTGAGGCGCTAGGGCCGGGGGCTGGGAGCTGCCCTCGTCGTCCTCCGGGGAGGAGGGGCTGTGTGGCTTGTGTGCAGTGACAGGAGCTGCCGGGCCTGCGCTCGTGCCATCTCCCCGAGCCCGCAGCAGGCCTGTGGCAGCAGGTGCGGCGCCCACGCAGCTCCGAGAGGAGGCGGCCCCCGCCTGAGGCCCCGCAGCTGGGGGGCCCGGGAGGCGCTTTGCGCGTGTTCTGCCCGCACCCTGGTCCTCCGGAGACCCAGTCAGGAGGCGAGGGGTTGGGTGCTGCCCTGGGCAGGTGGGCCTGGCCCCCGGGGGAGGACTCGGGAGGGTGGTAGGAGGTGGTGACAACCTAGGGAACACTTGCGCGCTGCGTACGGAGGGAAGCGGTCTCGTCATTGCCGGGAACCCGGTGAGGGTTGCCGAAGGAAGGCCCGTTGGATGCCAGCCGGGGCTCGTCAGGCTCCCTTTCGTGGAGGGCGTGCCTCTCGGACTTGGGTCCCTGGTCTTGTCTCTTTTGGGGCTTGGGGAGAGGGGGCTCTCATGTTCCGATAGTAGGTGGGTAACTTTTCTGAGGAGCACTCGTGTTTCCCAGATGCATTTCTGGGCTCATGGAAGGGAAAGGACGAAGGTGGGCCTGGCTGCGATGGAGCTGTGGCCTTTCCTCAGGCAGCTCAGGCCTCAGAGGGAGGCTCCTGTCGGGCACCACAGTCCCCTCTGGAGCTGGAGCCTGGCCCAGGCCCTTGCCCTCTCCTAGCCCACGAGCATAGGCTTGATGCCGTTTTCCTGCTTAGGGACACAGATGGTCAGAAGGCTTTTCTTTTTTTGGACTCTAACCTAAATATTTCTGCTGCTTGTGAAGTCAAGATTTTTGTTGTTGTTGCTCATGGAAATTCAGAGTAGGGACAGGAGTTTTCGATTGCTCAGAAGACCTTCAGGAGGTTCCTTCTCCACCTGTGATTTATTAAGTTGCATTCTAAGTGTCCAGCCTCTTCCCCCTCTTCTCTGGGCTGAGGGCTTAGGCGTTTTGGTTTGGTGTGTCAGTGGCAAGATACGTTGCTCCAGGCGGGCTCCTTCCTTGATCTGTGTCACTGTGTTGGCCTCCCGGAGTACATCCTCTGTGGCCCTGAGCCCTGGGGGTGGGAGGACACCCACACGAGCTGTGGCTGGAATTCCGCCGGGCCGGCAAGCCCCGATTCCCCAGACACCTCTCCACTGTCGAGTCGGAAGTGCTGCCGTTAGATGCATCCCCTTCCCTGACCAGGAGGGCATCTCGCGCTCAGGCGGGGTTCGCACTGCACCCCTCCTTCGTCCAGGGAACACCCAGGGCTGCCTACTCCCTCTCTCGCTTCCCGCAGTGGCTTCTCAGCGGTGGGGCCTGCCAGGTCTTGCTCCCTTGTGTCTAGAAACTCAGCTGGGGAGACTAATTACAGGCAGCGTCAAGGCCCCGCACTCCGGGGCCTTATTTTCAGCACCTCCCAGGAATCCCAGGCGGCTCTGGCTGTCTTGTGTGCCGTCTCCCACCCTCAGGGGCACTTCCTTCCCAGGGGCTTAAGGAAGCAGAGTGAATGCTTACTTGAGGTGGGAGTCCTCTGCCTTTGTCCCTCTTGTCTTCTGGTGAGCTTCTAAGTGAGGCACGAGCCGCCTTCACTGGGCAGATTTCATCTCCTTCAGGCCTTAGCAGTGCTTACCTTGCTTTACCCCGAAGTGTCTCGGAGCTCAGGCCTTTTACCAGGGAGCAGTCTGCTGGCCTAAGTGGCCGGTGGGGGCCCAGCCACACCTTCAGGAGCACAGGAGAGGACGGCATCCCGAGGTAGCCCTAATTAGGGGGAGGGCACTTCTAGGGCCGGCTCAGCCCGTCCGCTCCACAGCCCCACACCCTGCTCTGCGTGCCGTGTCGCACTGGCAGCGAGGGGCCTGTCGGGCTCGTCACCCGCTCGAAGCAGAGTGGGCAGGGTGGCGTGGTGTGGGGAGGCGGCAGCTAGTTCCGAACGGAAGCCCAGGGCTGTTCAAGAAGGGGCTTCCCTCGTAAAGGACTAAGGTGGCCCTGCCCAGCCTCAGCCCCGGGGTGGGGAGTTCAGGAGGCATGGAGAAGGCCGAGTGTAGTTGTGGGTAGGAAACCTTTCTTTCCCCACTGCACGGTTACGCACGTGACATTGGACTCCTGGCTGTAGCTTACTCTCGCTCTGGTCTGGTGATGGCCAGGGTAGTTTTTAGATACCAGTTGAAAATACCTATCTATCTACTGTTTTTTCTGAATACGCAAGTGTAAATAGTATAATTTGCAGTGCAAAGCCCTTGGCAATAACTTTATGTTGTGTATGATGTTGACAAACACTGGCAAACTCGACCACCACGGACTGCCCTTCCCCTCTGGGGCAATGACGACACGTAGGACTCTGGACTTTAAACCTCCGGCGTGGTTGAAGCTGCAGCCTGCACGTGTGGACTGTCACCAGTGCCTCGCCCAGAGATGCCTGGCCTTCGTCCCAAGGGACTCTCTGCCACCCCAGCGCCCACACTGTGGCTCCTTCGCACCGCCTGTCGGACTCTGCCGTAGACTCACCCTCTCGTCTGGCTGCTGCCGTTTGTCTGTAATGCCCTGACCTGTTGCATTCTCCCCATTTGGATGAATACAAAATAAAAGCTTCTGTCTTAAACAGCAGTGGACCCACTCTGGTTAAACGAAGGCTGTCAAGTGCAGGACCATTTTCCTGGCCCTTACAACTCTCTGCTAACTCTGCTCATGGCGCAAAGAGTTTACTGGACCTGAAACTTTAACCTGGCACCCTGACCTAGCGAGCTGGGGAGTTGTGGGTGCCGAGCGAGGGCCGAATTCTAAACTGTAGAACTCACTGGGTGCTTTGCACGCATCTCACTCTTCCTGCTCACACCTGTTCCCTAGGGCTGGCAGTACCCACACATGACAGATCAGGACACTAAGGCTCACAGGTAAAAGTACAGAACTTCTAAATGGCAGCAACCATCAGTATCCAAAGCTGAAGCTCTTCCCCCTTGTGAGGGTCCTGCCGTGGAGCTGCCCCAGTAACGCCGAGCCCCCAGACCGCCAAAGACGGCGGAGCCGGGGGACAGAGAAGGCAGAGAGCCAGGCCAGGGCCTGCTGCTGCCCTCCAGGTAAGTGCAGCCACTGGCTGGACAAGGCACTGGGCGTCCCTGCTTCCCTTTGTCACTCAGGGCCCGCCTTCTCCCTGCCCGCCACTGAGTGGGATTCACCAGCACGCTGCCGTTGCCCGTGCGATTCAGAGCAGACGGGTGGCAGCTCTCCTGGGAGCCTGAGGAAGGTGCCTCCTCCCCGCTGGGACTTACTAGCAAGGCTCCGGTGATCAGAGGCTCTTGGGTTCAATGGGGCCTGCTGGCCAGTCCGCCCAGCCTGTCGTGTACTTCCACTGACCTTTCCAGCGGCCCCGACAGACCACAGCCTGGGAGGAGATGTGGAGGGGGTCAGAACCAGGATCGGAGTTTTCCAGCACAAAGCCTCATGCCCTTTGCTCTTTCTGCCGTGGTTCCTGCCAACTACCCACCTTTCCCTCCCTCCCTCCTCAGCCAGGCTTCCTAAACATCTACACTGGCCTGTCTCTGCTTCCTCCCCTCCCTCCCCTCAGCTGACCGCACCCCACCCACCTCGGAGTCTGCTCCTGCCCTGGGCACCAGCAACCTCCCCGTCACCGAATCCAGTGAGCCTTCTCTCGTCCTGCCCTCACTGCTGACCGACGAGCTCCTTTTCCTCCCGGTGACCACAGCCTTACTCTGTGGCCGCCTTTCTCCTCGAACAGCACTTCGCAGGCCTGCAGCCAGCCCTTGTCACTCTGTACGCTCTCCTGGCTTCGCCTCCCCTGCCAGGGTAGGCCTTCACAACTAGTGCTGACCGCCCCACCCAGGGCTGGGAGACCTTTTTGGTTGTGACAACGGGTGGCGGCGGGGAGGGGTGCTGCCAACCAGCTGGAAGGGCAGGACAGCGCCCCACACCAGAGCACGAGCAGCACCGCTGAGGCTCCGAAACTGTGGTAGCGCCGCCCGCGCAAGTCCCAAGCGTCTGTGGGCTCTGGCCGCCTTCCAGCGGTGTTTCCCGGGCTCTCCCTGGATGTCTCCCCCCTTTCTCTCACCAAGTTTCGGGGACTCTCCAGGAACTGTCTCCAATCTGGCCTATCTTACCACCTCTCTTTAGACTCTAAATCTCTCCTCCAACTTTTCTTTCTAAAGGACTGACTGGACACTTAAATTTTTTAAGCAAGTTGTTGGCTTAAAACTCTCCAGTCAGTCAAGGTTCCCTTGACCTTCAGACTGCTTGGGCTGGGTGGCCTCCCCCTCATTATCCAGTCTCTGTCCCCCGGCCCCATCAGACCACGGTGCTAACTACCACCTGTTCGTTCCAGCTAAATGTTGCCTCTCTCTCCAGCAAACCCCCTAGTCAGCAGTGCAGAAAAACCGTCCCTGCTGCTTCATCTCTCTCGCCATTACGCATCCCTCCCTGTCCCCACAGGGCGCCGTACACCTGTCCCAGCACTCAAGTGTTCTCAGTCTGGGTCTTAACACCACTAGGGGACCTCCCTGCAGCAGGGCCCATAGGAGTCCCCTGAGGCCTGCTGTGCCCAGGCTGACCGGCATATGGACTCCCTTCTCCTTTCCCAGCTGCGACATGAGGATTTCTGCGGCATCCCTGCACTCCCGAACACTAGGACCCTTGGGATTGGAAAACCTAGGGCAAGCTGGCCTTTCTGGATTCCCGCCCCAGCTGGCCAGGAACGTGGACCCCAGAAATCGGTTCTCCAGCTCGAGAATGGCAAAGGGATCCCAGATGCGCTCTGGAGCCGCTATCCTGGCTGCTGTCATGCACCTGCCATGGCCCAGGCCCCTCCGGGCACTCGCCTGGCTTCGGGGCAGTGGCCAGCAGACCGGGCAGGGGCTTCACTCACTGCCTTCCCTCCTTTGCGGCCTGCATCTCAGCCCGTTTCCATCCGAGGCCGGGTGTAGAAGGGGTCCCGGAGGGCAGGTCACAAGGGGAGAACCACAGGGTTGGGAAGACTGCTTTTCTTCCTGCTGCAGAGAAGGGGCGAGGTGGTAAAGAGGGCCGTACGGGGCAGGGCGCAGGAGGACCCCCCCAGGGAGTAGGAAGGAGCTTCTGCGAGAGGTCGTCCCTGCCGCCTCTCTCCCTGAAAGTTTCAGCAGAGCAGACCCGGATCCCGGCTGCTTCTCCCGCACTTTCACATTTTAGGCCTGGAATTCCACCTCCTGTCTCTGCCTGGTGAGGTGCTTTCATCTTGCAAGGTCCTACTACACCCCTACCTCCTGTAGGACTTCCCTAACCCCCCGCTTCACAAACAGCGCCTCACCCTGTCACGGCGGCCCTCCGTTTCGCGGCAGGGGTTCCGTGCAGGCCATGGCGGCGCAGGGCGTCAGCCTCACGGAGGCGCAGCTGGTCCCGCCGCACCCCGCAAAGCGGCAGCCCGGAGCCGCTGGGCGCAGGCGGGCAGGGGGTGCCCGGTGCCTGAGCGCACACGTGTCTGCCAGCACGCAGGCTGCCCTTCTCAGAGTGTGCGTGCGAGCGGGGAGACGGGGCAGGAGCGCGTAATGATGAAACCGGTTTCTACAAAGTGATGCTCTTTGTACCAAAATATTTAATGAATATGCTGTTAAAATAAAACCAACCAAAGGAATAGTAATACAATTTTACTGGTTTATATTTCAATTCATAAAGTTGACACACTGGAACTACCCTAGCACAATGTCCACGCACCTAGTTTTAGATGGGCTTACAGCTGTTTCGGTAACTGAACAAGAAAGACACAAAGCGGTGGAGGGTGTGGTGGGGGGGGGGGGGTTGCCGCTTGTCACCTCCCTTATCACAGATGACCTCAGCAAGCGCTAGGCCAGCCACCGGGAAAAGAGATACAAAACAAGCCAAGTCTCTTTATACACAGACCAGTGCCTCTTAGAACAGCTCCTGCGCCCCGCGTGCAGACACGAGACCCCCGGCGCCAGCCTGTCAGCATACCGCTATATAAGTTAAAAGACTAGGTTATTTATTTTATTTTATTTTTTTAAAGGTGCTAAAACCTCCATTCCATAGTTTTGAAGTGAGAACCTGCAGTCCATCTGAATAGCGAGGTCTGCACCCAGCCACACTCTGGGGAGGGACACGGGCCAGCAGGACGGGGCCTCGGCACGCTCATCCCGCACATGCGTTTACACAAACACACACACACAGTGCAGTGTCTTTCTCGCTTGTATGACCTGTTGTGCAAAAACACTAGGAACCTTTTAGTGAGGGAACATTTCCCAGCTCTTGTGAGGGCAGGGAAGAAGGGGAACCCGACAAACCCGGAGTGAGATCAAGTGCCCAGATATCCACATAATTACCTTGTGCAGATGAGTCTTAGTCTGGGATTTAAACACTGTCAGTTGGGCGCACTGGGAAAAGATATTTATATATATATACACACACACACACACACACACACACGACACATGAAGCAAAATAAGATTTGTCCATGTTATGATTAATCCTGTCTCACGTCAGTCAAGTCCCCCAGCCCAGCCCCGTGAAGTTTTGGCAGCTAACACTAAAGAACAACAGGAACTACGAGAGTTGCATAGAATTGATCAGAAACGTGAATAATGCCAAACCCAAAACCTGTGCATCGTGTAGTTTAACAAAACTAGGTGGCTGCGACTACAATCAGGAAACCCTCCTATTGAAAACAAAGTGCTTCTCCATGTCTACCTGGAGGACCCTATGCTGGCACTGAAGTAGAGAAGAACTGAGTTACTGATCCCCTGGCACCCCCCCCGGCAATACATATAATATGTATATTAAAAAAAAAAAAGATTAAAGGTTTAGAAAAAAACCAAAAGCCTGAAGGATCCCCAAACTCTGACACTGTCAACTCAGTCCTTGGGCTGCGTGAGGTCGTGACCCCCACCAGGGAGAGAGGCCTGGCAGCTCACACCGAGGATGGTTTCCCAGAACGCGTCCAGAGCGTCATACAGCCAGCAGGCCTGTCAGCATCAGTAGTTAGGGGAGCCTTACCCCAGAGGCTGCCTGCTTCACGAGCTCTGGTCCAATGACCTACCAACATGCTTCTACGGATCTGACTTAGATACATCCTGGTCCTGGGACACGTCACAGAATCACACATCTGGCCAAAGAAGGCAACAAAAGGTGTCGTGTTTTCTGACGGTGTCTGGAGGCAGCCGCTTCACTCAGCAAGTCTCTTTCCCTTGAACCCCCGTTGCTGTCTTTATGGAGCTCAGTGTTCGGTTAAACCACGTCTTCTTGGCAGCCTGTACCTCATTTAGGGCAAGGCCTAAATGGTGCTCCAGGTCCTGCAAGAGGAACGATGTACATGAGCGTGCTGGGCTCCGGCGTGAATGGCGTTGCCTCCCCAGAGCTGAGTCAACACAAGACTTCAGCCTATTTACTCTTGAGAGGCCTCTGGAAATTCCCCAGTTTCCAACTGGCATAGAAGTACCTAGAATCCCTAGAGTTCTGGGATCTTTCCTAGTGAAGACCTCTTCATTTCTTGCCTAGTCTATTTATTAAAACAACCTCCTAACTGAGCGCCTCCCTCTCCTGTCCACCTATTACACACCAGACAGACAGGGCTAGCACTCCAGTTAAGACCATGTCATTAATTTCCAGCAAAGACCTTTAAAGTCTAGACTCCCAGGCAAGGCATTTGAGGGGTTTCATGATCTGGACCCAGAGACTGTCTGCCAGCTCAGTACCCACCTCCACCCCTAACTTCCTGACACTCCTTCTTGGGCAGGCCCACTCCTCCCTCTGCTGCTCAGCATGCCGCTCCCTCCACCAGGAATGCTCACTGTTCTTTCGCTTCTGCAGCTGCAACCCTTGTTCATTCTTTGACCACAGCTCACATACTGCTGCCTTGGTGGTGCTTTTCCTGATTGTCCTGGACAGTCACACAAGCCAAGTCTTAGCTTTGCAACCCCAGCACCTAGAACAGGGCCTGGCAAAGAGCAGATGCCCAGTGAATGTGTGTGATGTGGGAGACCAGGCCCTAAACTTCAGTCCTTAACTCGGTCCCTTCCACAAACGGGCCCACTTGCGCTTCGTAAGGGTGCTTGTGGAACTGGCCACGCAGGATGAAGATGACCAAAGGAAGCCCCGATTTCTTCATCAGGAATGGAGGCTCAGATCAATCAGGTAACACGTCCAAAGTCACAAAGCTAGTTAAGTGATAGGAGCTGGGACTAAGAGGTGGCATTTAGGAAGTCCTCAGACACTGTGCTGCGAGCCCTTTCTGTGCTTTTATCTTATTTAGTCTTCAAAGCGAACTATCAGATAGGGGCCCTTATCACCTCCATTTGCAGATGAGGAACCTGAAGTGTAAGGAGGTCATGCACAGACCCAAGGTCACAGGTTTTGGTGGTGCAGCAGTGATTTCCAAGCATGTCTCCGCTCCACCAAAAAGATTCCAAGCTTGATGGATAATTCTCATTATGAAAAAGTCCAATTCATGACAGGCCAAATACTAATTAAACATCCACTGGTAAATAACAAGCAATGGGCTTCTTCCTATAAGGATTATGGTCAAAGTTTAAAAGGGAAAAAACCCCAACCACAGAGACCATTTCTGGGGTCTGCAGCCCACACAGGGGGCCGGGCGCGGGGCCGGGCAGTTACCTGGATCTTACACTCGGCCTCCACCAACTGCAGCTTGGTCTGCGCCAGCTCCAGTTCCATCTCTCTCAGCTGGTTTTTGAGTGTCTCCTTCTCTTCATCTGTGTCCTCATCTAAAACTTCCTTAGCTGAGCTCATGCCCTTTATGCGACCTTCTTTGTTGAAAAATCCCCGGCAGCGCTCACAGTCATCCACTTTTTGCTGAAAGTGAATGTCAGATGTGAACAGGCAAAGAAGAGAAGTGGCCCCGTAGGAAGGTGTGGGCACCTCCTTTTTGGGGAGCCAAGAGGTGGCTTCTGGGTCAAGCACTACAGCTCCCGAAAAACTCTGTTCTCTTTGCAAACTGGCAGATACCTTAGTGGAAAAGCCATGTAGTATCCTACGCTAAAATCAGTAAGAACATTCTTATATCTTTGGTCATCTCACTCCCAAGGAACCTTGGTTAAAAAAATGAAGATGCAGCGACTAAAGATTTAGATACAAAGATTTTCACTGCAGAATCAGAGACAGAAAAATAACGAGGGGATAAACTATCCAACCACTGTGAGAAGTTAAATAGATACTGGGCTGTACCTATACAAGGAAGTATGTAGGCAGCCTCTACAAAGTGTTTGAGGAATTTTTCATAACATGGTAAAATGGTTAAATGCTGCGTGAACAAGGACACAAAAATGTCTGTAAAGCATGGTTACAAATATATACCATGTTTCATTAAAATAAGATGTCCCTGACTGGGAGAAACCTCATTTCACATTCCTCTAAGAGAATATTCTGCCAATTAAACCACTTTATTTTAATTTTGAGAGAGAGAGAGGGAGAGACAGAATCCCAAGCAGGCTTCACCCCCAGCATGGAGCCCGACATGTGGCTCACCACGGGGCTCGATCTCACGACCCTGAGATCAAGACCTGAGCCAAAATCAAGAGTTGCATGCCTGGACTGAGCCACCCAGGTGCCCCCAGTTAAACCACTTTAAAAGGCCATCAGTTATAAAACTTGTCCCAATTTCAGAGAGGTAAGTGTGGAAAAAAACGCCTATCTTAGAATGAATAGCATTTTATATGTTGAAATAAACACAGAATGAGCACTGAAAGCACATATACCAACGTGTTAATGATGGTGATATTATCTATGGGTAATATAAGGGTTTGTTTTCTTACTCTTTTTTTTTTTTTTTAAATATTTTATTTTATTTATTTACTTGAGAGAGAGAATGAGAGACAGAGAGCATGAGAGGGAAGAGGGCAGAGGGAGAAGCAGACCCCCCTGCCGAGCAGGGAGCCCGATGCGGGACTCGATCCCGGGACTCCAGGATCATGACCTGAGCCGAAGGCAGTCGCTTAACCAACTGAGCCACCCAGGCGCCCTGTTTTCTTACTCTTATTTTCCAAATTTTCTGCAATAAGCATTGCTAGTTTTATAATCAGATAATAAATTACATTTAAAAAATCAACACTGCTAGTTAAACACTACTTACAATGGAGGCCAGGTGCCATCTTCCTCCAGGTAAAACGGTGATGTGTGTGAATAGGGCCATGAGCACAGAACTTGCTCACCTTCCTGTCCTTTGAGCTATTAAATATGTTAGCAAAGTATCTTTCAGTAAGTTACTCATCTTGGAAAAATGTGATGAGTGCTCTAATACAGGTACAGCTTAAAGCAAGCAAGCACTGGGCACCTGGGTGGCTCAGTCATTGAAGTGTCTGCCTTGGGCTCAGGACGTGACCTCAGGGTGCTGGGATTCAGCCCCAAACTGGGGAGCCTGCTTCTCCCTCTGCCCCTCCCCCACTGCTCATGTGCACTCTCTCTCGCTCTCTCAAATAAAATCTTTAAAAAAAATTAAAAAAAAAAAAGAAAGCACCAAGTTACAAAAGCCCCTGAATTGGCAACAAAAACATTAAAAAATTAAAGCCTTCATTGGATTTGGATCCATTATAGCAGAAGGAATTGAGCTCAGAGGGGGAGCTGAGTGTCCTCATTTTACAGAACGTGCAGAGTGACAAATGACACCACAGGGTCCTGACCTCTGCACCTGATCTGGAGCTAAACTCCGGCTGGCAGGCCTCCTTCACCTGTGGCACTGCAGTGACCACCTGCTCCGCTGACATCTGCAAATCCCAGGTCACTTCTTGTTACAGTCACGTCATCCAGAGGATGTTATGTGAAGAAAAGGGCATTTGTATTTTGAGATCTAAAACCAGAGTTCTCGGGTTGCGTCTGCCCTCCCGTCCGGAGCAAACCGGCACGGAGCCAGGCCACGATGGGCCCCTCATCAGGTACTCACAAGCTTCTCTCACTTTTGAAATCGAAGTAAACCACCCCCTCCTGAAATCTGTGGTGCTGAACAAAGCACAGCGAACTAGGTGGTACAGAATAGAATCTCTTTGGTAAAGGAAAACTTACCCGGATTTTCTCAATTTCCACTTTATTAGCTGTCTGCTGCTTTTCCAATCTTTCACTCAACTGAGAACAAATCTAAAGAAACAAAGTGACAATCTCTTGAGCAATGTCATCACGTGCAGAACCTGGGCTTGGGAGGAATTCTACAGCAGAAGGTGGACAGGCCGAGGGGAAGGAAGAGTGGGGGCCGTAGGGGCTGCGGGTGCGCGGGGCAGGAGGTCGGGCAGGAGGACGGGGCAGGAGGATGAGCAGGATGGGGCAGGAGGACGGGCAGAAAGTCGGGCAGGAGGACGGGGCAGGAGGACGGGCAGGAGGTCAGGCAGGAGGATGGGGCAGGAGGTCGGGCAGGAGGACGGGGCAGGAGGTCGGGCAGGAGGACGGGGCAGGAGGACGGGCAGGAGGACGGGCTGTGCCACCTCCGCATCCACCGGCCTAGGATGTGAGGAATCCGTCAGCGCCACACTCAACGGCCGACGGTTTACAGACACTTGACAGACTCTCGAGTCAGCACGAGATCCGAGTTTAGGAAAGAACAGGACCAGTTTAGTTATGTTCTTAAAACTCAACCCGCCAGGGAGAGAAGTGGTTCCACAGCATGTGACCACACGTGAACACGAGGCCGCAAGGGCAGGGTGGCTTTCATTTCTTAAATGCCTGTTTATAAATGCTGGGCACTATGCCTGGCTCTCTACAGACCTGATCTTGCGGAATCCTCACGACAGTTCTCTGGGACAGTGGTCATTTCTCCTGTGTTAGCGCTGAGGAACAGTGAGGTCACTTGCCCAGTGAAGTCACCGGTCGGTGCAGGCGGCAGGCGGGTGTGGAGGGGACGCATTTAGCCAGACAAGCAGGGCTTCCAGAATACATGGCCCACTCACAGGGTGCTCAGACTCACCTGCTTGTAGTCACCAATGATAGAACTGTTTTTTCTAATCTCAGATTCTGCTTTGTCAAGTTCCCGACGACACATTTCTTTTAACTATATACGTTAAAAAAACAAAAAAAAAAGGAAAAGTGAATGTTTTAAGGAAAATATAAAGCTCTGGTACTAACTGCCTCGTTCTGGGCTTCCCAAAATTACCTACTTTTTGACTACTCTGGAAGGGCTGTACTTCACCTACCTGGTCTTGATGCCAGGAAAGGGAGAGAAAAGTCAAAACTCCCCAAAAGCTCAAACCCCATTTTGGAGTGGGGCTTTGGCTAAGGTTCCTCCCTGCCTGTGAACCTAAGCTGAGGAGGCAGCACAGACCCAACAGATTAAAGCTCATCAGAGGACTGCTGTGTCTTCCGTACAGAGACAGTGCCTTGTCGTCTCTCACCTCAGGCAGTCCTGCCAGAGACCAGAGAGTGTCACCATTACAGAGAACCATGGGGGCAAGAGGAGCTTCCTGCAGGCTGTGCAGCATCCTGTGGCCCCAAGTGATTGTGGAGAGCTGGCTCAAGACAGGCCTTCCAGAGTCTGCTCTTTGGGGGAGGGCAGTGGTGCCAGTGGACAGGTAGAGGAAGAGCCAGACACTATAAGATGTCTGCTTTTCTTCTGCAGAAATGCTAACTCTCCTCTGGTTACATTCAGTTGCTGACACACAGGAATTTCTCTTGTCCCAAGGAAGGATGGGTTTTGCCCCAGTGTCTCCACCTATGCTCTAATTATTAATAACTATTATGCTTTACACAGTAAATAGAAAAAAGCCTTCGGAGAGAAACTGAAGCCAGCTGTCTGTGGTCCCCCAGTGCCAACAGGAAGCCTCCAGCTGGACTCGTGACTCTCAGGCCCTGACAAGACACGGAGGCATGTGGCGGGGCAGCGCTCCCCTTACCTGAGCGGACTCGTCTTCCAGCCGTCTTTTCTCTTCTTCAGCATCAATCAACTTCTGTTTGGTCATAAGCAGCTCCTTATTGAGTGCATCTGCCTTCTCTTCAGCCTGAAACATGTAAGAGATGCCATCACAGAACAAGAATTGAGAACCGGATGGGATTTGAATTGCTCAGGACAATCCCTTTTTAACGTGACAGGGAAAGTGAGCCAGAGAGGGGAAAGATATGCCAGAGGTCACACAGACACTAGACTGATGCAGAAGTGCCTGGCCCAGTCTTTTGCACAGACATTGTGCGGGACAGTGGTTAGGAGCTCAGTCTTTGGCATAAGACAGCCTGGGCTCAACCCCCATCGTTCTCTGACCATGTGCCACTTGGACAAGTCACTGAGAATCTTTCTGAGCTTCGGGCTTGTCATCTGAGGGATAAGGCACACGAAGGACTCAGCACAGCACAGCACCTAGCAGATGGTAAACACTCAATAAAAGGTAGCAGTCATGATCACTAATAGTAATAATAAATCCTGGTTTTCTTCCCTGAGACTCTCAGTATTTCCTCTGCTTCCTCAAACAAGGTCTACATCTCATTCTCATCACTTGATAAAGGAGGATGCCTCTTTCCTGGCACTCGCTGACCCGTGATCTGAAATGCCCCCCTCCACTCCAGTTCTTTTTGAAAACATGCAAAGGTCTGGTGGGTAGATCTGTGGGTCTAAGTGAAAATGACACCTGTGCCTGGCGCAGGAGTCCCTGACACTGGACATTCCAAGGATAACCAAAGATGAGCGTGTCAGAGGGCAGCCACAGAAATGGGAGAGAAGCTCCTAGTCCCACAGCACCAGATATAGAGGGTCTTTGCTGGCTCCTTATACACAGCCCCCTTTTTAACAACGAATGGAGGTGGATTCCCTGAAATTAAATGGCGTTTCTGATGTCACCTAGCTGAAGAGGTGTCACGGAGCCCCTGCACTTTCTACCACACCACACTTGCTCTGAAGTATCTTCTTTGGGAGGAACAGGAGCTGTAGGGCTGGGGCCTCACATGGAGAACTGAGAATGGCTTGATAACACAACCTCAAAAGGCCATTAATTACGGCAAGCTGCACATGTATGCAGTTAAGTGGGGTCTTAGAGTTCAGGCCTGTCCTGTCTGGGCTGTGGCCTGTCAGCTCCTTCTCTAGCTCAAACCCAATTATCAGTGAAAGGAAATGAGAACCAAAGAACAGAGAAAATAACTAGTAAGGAGAACTAAGTCCTGTTACAGATTCGTTTTACTTCAATCTGTGGAGCAACCTGTTACCTTTCTCCTCTCTCCCCTGGACTCCATTACCATTTTCTGAGCAGTGCTCTGGAGCCTGGAGACACACAAATGTTCACTCAGTCACTCAGCACCACTACCATGGTAGTGATTCTGAGAAGTGTGAAACAGCCAGGTTATGAACTGGGTCTTTGAAGTCAAGTCTCCCCTGCCCACCCTTGTTCCCCTCAAGTTCTCACAACGCACATAGCAGAGCTATAATCTGCAATCAGGTGGCGTGACATTAAGCCCAGTGTTTGTGCCACCTCTCAAAGAGCTGATGACTCTCAACGCTGTGTGAAAGGGAGGTGCACAGAAGCTACTGGACTGCCTAACCAGCGTCCCCTCAGGGTACCACACTCCCTGCACTCTCTCTGCACGAGCATATGAAGAGGGAGCATCTGGAGATAATAAAGACAAATCCAGACTTCCACTTTTTGTCATGAAGGACTAACAGGGACCAGATTTACCCTCCCACTGTAAACAAAAAACTGGACAAAGTGTATGAAACTGTTTTCAGACACTGAAAACAATACATGCAGAACTGTGGTTCCTGGGAGAAAGAAGACAAGATGAGTCCCACTATCACCCTGGGTTTCTACCTAGAGGCACATTCTGGACCAAGAAGGAGGGTGAAGGGTTCCAAACAGAGCATGTCTCAAAAGGTCAAGGAGGCAGAGTTAAGGGACCAGGGATGCTGAGGTGGTTGGGAGCTGGGGGACAGAGGCCTGGAGATAGGAGAGCTCTGGAATAGCTAATATGGCAACAGAGGAGATAAACCGAAAACATGGAAATATCCAATTAAACCAAAGAAGACAGAGGGGTGCCTGCCTGGCTCAGTCAGAAGAGTGTAAACTCTTGATCTCAGGGCTGTGATTTCAAGCCCCATGTTGGGTGTAGAGATTACTTAAAAAAAAAAAATCTTTAGGGATGCCTGGGTGGCTCAGTTGGTTAAGCAGCTGCCTTTGGCTCAGGTCATGATCTCAGGGTCCTGGGATCAAGTCCCGCATCGTGCTCCTTGCTCAGCGGGGAGCCTGCTTCTCCCTCTGTCTGCTTCTCCCTCTGTCTGCTGTACCCCCTGCTTGTGCTCACTGACAAATAAATAAATAAAATCTTCAAACCAAAGGAGGCAGAAAAGAAGAAAGAAAAAGCAAATGCAACAGAGAATAAATAAGGTGGTAGACTTAAATCTACTATATAAGTAATTACATTAAATGTAACTGGTCTAAACATTCCAATTAAAAGGAGGAGATTATCAGACTGAGTAAAATAAGCAAGACCCAACTATACTCTGGCTACAAAAAACAGTTTTAAATATAAAGACACAGATATATTAAAGGTCAAAGGATGGAAAAGGATGTATACCAGGCAATACCATGAAAGTTGGAGTGACTATTAATATCAAAGTAGATTTCAGAGCAGAGTATTACTAGGGACAAAGAGGGACATTTCATAATAAAAGACTTGCTCCATTGAGAAGGTGTAATAATCTGAAATGTATAAGTTCAAATTATAGGAAACAAAAACTAACATAATTGAAAGGTGAAATAAATGCACAGTCAGAGACTTCCTCACTGTCCTCTCAGTAAGTGATAGAACAAGTAGAGAGGGAAAACCAGTATGTTCATGGAAGATTTCAATAATCAATAATACTCGGGTGCCTGAGTGGCTCAGTCAGTTAAGCATCTGCCTTTGGCTCAGGTCATGATCCCAGGGTCCTGGGACTGAGTTCCACATCAGGCTCCCTGCTCAGCGGGGAGTCTGCTTCTCCCTCTGACCCTCCCCCATCTAGTGCTCTTTCTCTGAAATAAAATCTTTAAAAAAAAAAACTCAACCAACTTGACCAAACTGACATTTATAGAACATTGCACCCACAACAACAAAACACACACATTTTCCACTTGCAAATGGACATGTGGGACATGCACCCAAATAGACCACAAGGTAGGCCCTAAAATAAGCATAAATATATTTTAAAAAGATTAAAATCAGAAAGGATATGTACTCTGATCATAACTGAATTAAATTAGAAATTAACAACAGAAAAATTTCTGGGAGGGGTGCCTGGATGGCTCAGTCAGTTAGGCTTTGGCTCAGGTTGTGATCTCGAGGTCCTGGGATTGGGCCCTGGGTCCTGCTCCCTCTGACCCTCCCCTCTGCTTGTTCTTGCTTTCTCAAATAGATAAATGAAATCTAAAAAAAAAGAAAGAAAAAGGAAGGAAGGGAGGGAGGGAGGAAGATTGATTTCTGGGAAAAATCCCTAATAGTTGAAAATTAAACAATACACTACTAATCAATTCACAGGTCAAAGAAAAAATAGTAAGAACTGAATGAAAATAAAAACATATCAGAATGTGTGGGATGCAGCTGAAAGAGTGCTTCAGGGAGATTTATAACTTTAAATGCTTATTTTAGAAAAACAGGGTCTAGAACTAAAAAGACTAGCTAGAAAAAGAGCAGGGGTGCCTGGGTGGCTCAGTCGGTTAAGTGTTGAACTCTTAATTTCAGTTTAGGTCATGATCTCAGGATCATGGGATCGAGTCCTGAGTCTAGCCCAGACTCTACGCTCAGTGGGGAGTCTGCTTGAGATTCTCCCTCTCTCCTTCTGCCCCTCCCCCTGCGTGTGTGCTGGCTCTTTCTCTTCTCTCTAAAATACATAATCTTAAAAAAAAAAAAAAAAGATCAGCTAGGAAAAGGAGCAAATTAAATCAAAAATGAAGTTAGGAAAAAATAACGAAAAGCAGAAATCAATGAAACAAAACAAAGAGAGAATAAAATCAAACCAAAAACTGGGTTTTGAAGAAACCAACACACCTGATAAATTCCTAGTCAGATTAAGGAAAAAGGAGAAAAGACACAAATTACTCTTACCAGGAATGAAAGACATCTCAACAGATCCTATAAACATTAAAAGAGTAAGGAAATAACAATGACTTTTATCAACACCTTTGCCAACTAAAATGATTAAGTTATCGGAAAGACACAATTATAAAAATAGGCACAAGAATTAGAAAATTTTCATTATCTGGAAATAAACCGAATTCATAATTAAATAATTTCCTAAGAAAAGTCCAGGCCCACATGGCATTACTAGGGAATCAAAGATTTAATCAAGGAATAATCCTACACAAATTCCTTAAGAAAACAGGAGGGGACACTTCCCAGTTCATTTTGAAGGCCATCATTACCCTGATACCAAAACAAGACAAAACATTATGGAAACTCCAGACAAATACTTCCCCTTGAACACAAAAAGTTTAATTAAAAATCTTAAGGAAAAAAAAAGAAACCCCAAGTTTCCTACGGATGCAAAAGTTGGTTTACACTGAAAATTACATCACCATAGTCACAGAATTAGGAGAAATAGCAAATAATCATCTCAACAGATGCCTAGCATCTGACAAAATTCAACACCCATTCATGACAAAAACTCAACAAACAGGAAGAAAGGAGAACTTCCTCAACCTGATCTATGAAAACCCTCCAGGCGATGCCTGGAACAAAGCAATGATGCCCACTCTTTCCATTCAACATTGTTCTGAAGATCCTGGTCGGTGCAAGAAGGCAAGGAAAAGAAAAAGGCATAAAGACTTGAAAGGAAGTAAACTGTCTTTATTCAGAGATGAAATGATCGTGTACATGGAAAATCCTAAATAGTAAACAAAAAAGCTACTAGAATTGTAAGTGAATTCAGCGGGGTCATAGGACAGAAGGTCATGTAATCAATTTTCTTTCTAGAGACTAGCAATAAACAATTTGAAAACACCGTTAGGAAAACAAGATCCTTTACAATAAATTAAAAAATGTGCAAGCTTTGTTAACTGAGAACTAAAAAACAATGCTGAAATTGAAAAAGACACAAATAAATGAAAATTATAACCTATTCATGGGTTGGAAAGTCCAATTATTATTCAGATGATAACTCTCCCCAAGCTGATTTACAGGTTCAATGCCACCCCACTCAAAACCCCAGAGTCTTTTATTTCTAGAAGCTGACAAACTGATCCTAGTGCTTATGTGGAAATGTAAATGACAGAACAGCCAAACTATTTTTTAAAAAGAACAATGAAGTTAGAGGACTCCATGACCTGATTTTCAGATTGTAAAGCTGTAGTAATTAAGACTATGGTGTTAGCATGAGGATACACATATAGATCAATGGAGCAGGTATGGAATTGAGGAGAGCATCCATACAATCGATTTTTTATAAAGAAGCCAAAGTAATTCATTCAGTAAAGGTTTGCAAGCTGCTCAAGGTCACAGATCTAGCGTGCAGTGTAGCCAGACTGTAAATCTTGGCAGGTGGGCTCCTGAGTGTTTCCCTCACTTTGATTACACTCAGTGTAGACAGTGTGCCAGAGGGGACTCAGGTATGGTCCTGCTGGCCCTGTGCAATGTTAGGTCTGGGCAGGACTCCCGTTTCATAGAGGAGACAGCATGGCTGGGCTCACCTGGGGACTCCGTGGCTAACTAGCAATTTCTCCTGTAACAAAAGTGACATAAAACATCAACTGAAAATTCAAAGAGTGTTCTGGAAACCTGGTAAGGCATACGCCAGAGTTTTACTCTGGGATGCAAAAAAGGAAAAGCTAAAAATAATGAATTTCTTTCAAAAACCTGACTGAGGGGGCAGCTTGGTGGCTCAGGTCATCATCTCCGGGTCCTGGGATCGAGCCCTGCAGCAGGGAGTCTACTTGTCCCTCTCCCTCTGTCCCTCCCCCTACTCATGTGCTCTCTCTCAAAAAAACCCCCAAAAAACCTGAGTCCCTGAAGGCTGAAAACAAACCAAAAAAGGGGGTGAGAGGACCCCATGCCCCTCACTTCAGAACCTAGATGATTTTCAGTGATGATTCTGAAGAACAAGAGAAGACAGACTTGGCAAGGGACTCCACGTCCAGTGTGGGGAAGGTCTGTCTTCTCAGCACTGTAGTAGCCGGCTGGAGGAGGGAACCCCAGTTTGAAGTTCCTGAGCCCTAAGGGCAGTAGGAGCCCTGCTCCTTTGAGCCAAGTTAGGAGTGTGACCTCTGGTGTCAGGCCATTTGGGTTTCAATCTGAAATGTCACACTATGCCTCAGTTTCCTCATCAGTAAAGCGGGGATCATAGTGTATCCCTGACACAACATGGGTTGTTTTGAGGACAAAAGCACTTAGAGCAATGCCTAGAACTTGGTAAGTGCTTAGGAAACATTTGCTTGTTATGTGTCACTGTATATGTTTTTGATGTAGTTATTACACCAAATCGTAGCTTCTTGTTCCATATTTATTTTGAAGATAGCGTGGCATCGTAGACAAGTCTGGGGCATTCCAATCAGATGGGCCTGGGTTAGATTCCTGGCTCTGCTTTCTCCACGGCGCCTCCATCTCTCTCTGAATCTCAAGTTTCACGACTGTTACAAAAATCCTCATCTATCAGTGGGGCTCATGTAACTCTCCTCACGAGGCTGAAGCAAGGGTAAGAGATACTAGATGTCAGCAAAGTGCTTATCACAGTGCTGGTCACACAGATCATCAGGAAATGGGAGTTCACATTATTCTATTTCTCACTCCTGGTATCAGGAATGTTAAAGAACCTAGCTCTTTACCGTCTCAGGATAAGACAACTTGAAAAAAGGTTTATACCATTTAGGAGCAGACTTCAAGAACACAAGAAGTCTGTGCCCACCTTCAACAGGGGAACATCAGTGTGATGGCTGGGCCTGGCAGGTGACCATGCAGCAGCTCAAACTAAACAATCCACCCGGGATCTTAGCTCAAGTTGCCTCTTCATACAATTTTTTTGAACACAAAGCTCCTATCCAGGACCCATTTTCTTTTGTCTTTTCCACCTCCTTCCTGCATGATGTCCAGCTGCTGTGGGGCACCTTAGGTGCACGCTGTGGCCTGGCTTCAGTAGATGCTGCTCAGCGCCAGCCGCCTCCCTCCACGCGCTGGGCAGAAAGGCCTCAACAAGGAGGGGACCATTCCTCCAGCGCTCCTACAAAGAACAGGGCAGGCCAGGAATCTGCACCAGAAGGTGGGGACTCAAACCTAAGGGCCAGACTGTGTTAAACCATGAAGCAGTCAGGGCTCCAGGTTCCGGTTACTGAGGGTTAATGACCTCGAAACTGCCTCCCCCCCTCCCCGAAACTGGAAAAAGCAGCCTTCCCAGTCACCTGCAGCCATGTGTAGCTGACAAGCAAGAGGAAGGAACACTGCCTGGGCTGGCTGTGTTTGGCGGTGCTTTTCATATTCACTATAGTCATGGCGCTCTCCCTGTACCATGGGACGCAGCTGATACTCCACCTTCCCACTTTTTGCTCTACTTGAATGGAGAGTGGTACTAGAATACAGGTCTATTTGGAGTGCCTGGGTGGTGCAGTCGGTTAAGCATCCAACTCTTGGTTTTGGCTCAGGTTGTAATCTCAGGGTCGCTCTCCTTCCCTCTCCCTCTGCCCTTCCTCCAATCCCCCCCGCCCCCGCACTTTCCATCTCAAATAAATACATCTTTTTTTTTTCAAATAAATAAATAAATCTTAAAAAAAAAAAACAGGTCTGCTCAAAACTGTTTACTCTACAACTCTATTTCTAAAGAAAATAAAAACTGGTAGATACCACCATCTTGCTCTCTCTTCATCTGATGTGTGAGCCACTTTGAGAATCTAATTGAAGTACAGACTTTCAAAGAAATACAGAACACAGTATTTTCATACACATTTGGTGGATGTCAAGGACCTTGTGAAGTTCATAGATCTTACGGGGTTCAACACATCATGCAAGTCCCCTGTAAACCCTTAACAGAGAGCCTCTCTCTAGAACCTTAGGAAACCAATGAACAGAACAGTAATCTTAGGAGCCTCACAGGGAAATATGAGTCAGATGTTGGCAAACTACAGTCCATGTGCCAAATCCAGCCTCTACCTATTCTCGTAAATAAAGTTTTATTGGAACACAGCCATGCTCATTCCTTTACTTATTGTCTACGGCTACTTCTGTGCCGATGGCAGAGTTTGATGTTGCAACAGAGACCATATGGCCCACAAAGCCTAAAATATTTACTATCCATCCCTTCAGAGAAAAAGTTTGCCAACTTCTGACCTAAACGATGAATGAAAGACCACACTTTTTCAAAGGGAGGCTTGTAGTATAGAAAATGGACAAATATCCTGCCAGGAAAGCCATCATCTTGAACTTTTTAAGATTAGGAGAAGCAAAGAAAGAACATCTGCCAACTGAACTTACTGGTGAAACCACAAGCTGCTGAAGCACTGATAATTAGCAATGCTTATTCAACAAGCGCCTAATATGCAGGATAACAGAATCTCTTCTTAGGGAAGGTAAGTAAAGGATAATGATTAAATGCTACTGTCAATTGTCGGAACATAAGAATTAGTCAAAAAGCCTGTCATCAAACACTGGTGGACAAGGAGTTCAGGGACGGCCTGTGTAACAAGAGAAGAGTGTGGGAGGGAGGGCTTACAGGAAAACCCCTGAAGGAAAGGAGGGAAGCTAGAGTGACACGAGCAAGTGGTTCTGCAAGAGGGACACTTCACAGGTGACACACTAGGACAAGAGACACTACAATTCAAGGACTGGACTTGATAAAGGGAGAAGCTGAGAGTTTCAAAATAATCCATCCCTTTGGCCACGTCAGACTCACGTTATCCAGGTCCTTCCGCAGCGCAATCTTGCTGGTCACCAGCTCATGGGCTAAGTCATCGTTTTCCTGTTCCAACCTCATGTTAGCTTCTTGTAGACGCCGGTTCTCCCGCTGAAGGGTAGAAAGAAACTAGTTACAGACATGTAAAAATCAGATGGCAATGACAACTTCTCAGGGTTAACCCTCAAAACTCATTTCTGAGTCCTATGGAAATCATGGGAGGAGTGGCTGGTCCTAAAATGCTAGCAAGCAACAATTTCTTCTTTTCTATCTCCAATGAGAAATACTTAACTGGTCCCAGTGACCTTGTCAAGCAGCTACTTCTGATTAACCGTGATGAAAGGCTACTGAACTGTGACAATCTAGGCAGCTGGTTTAAAGCACCATAGATCTGGGCGCTTGGGTGGCTCAGTTGGTTAAGCGACTGCCTTCGGCTCAGGTCATGATCCTGGAGTCCCTGGATCGAGTCCCGCATCGGGCTCCCTGCTCAGCAAGGAGCCTGCTTCTCCCTCTGACCCTCCCCCCTCTCATGTGCTCTCTCTCTCTCATTCTCTCTGTCTCAAAAAAAAAAAAAAAAAAAAAAATATCTAAAGCACCATAGATCTTACTTTCTCATTTGCAAATTCAAACTGAAACTTGAACCTAGAAACAGTGGATCTGAATTTAAATTTAAAAGAACTCGGCAAAGCCAGTTACAGGCACGATTACAGGAAATGAAAGGCTGAAATGAAAGCTCTTCACATCGACCCAGGCCATAAGCAAACGAACCTCAAATCGCTCGATAGGGTCTTCTTGTTGGGCCTGCTGTTCCCTCATGGTGTGATACTCTTTTTCATATTTTTTCAACTTCTTCTGACTAATCTGTAGGATAAACCACAGCACAAATTAAAAAGTATCAGAAAGTGGTAGCTGTCTCAGGGCCTGCGCTGACCTGGGCATCTTCAGTCACTATGGAAGTGGTGTAGCCCCTCCAACCTGAGCTCTGAGTCCTGTTGTCCCTAATCATCACCCTCTTCCTCCACCATTTTATTTTGCATACACCAGCACTGCTGCAAGGTGCTTTCAATCTGTGACCTCAGGATACCTCGACAAGATACGGTATTACCATCCTCATTTTATAGGCAACTTACTGGAGGCTTAAGGAGGTTATGTAATCTGACCAAGGTCACTCAGTTAAGGACTGGCAGATATGGGAGTGGAGCCCAGGCAGCTAAACTCCATGCAAAGTCCAAGCTGCACTCACCACACTACCCTACACTGATCACCTTCCCTCCCTACTAGCTCCTTCTGTGCTGCTATCAAACAGACACAATTCTCTCTGCCCTTAAAACCACCATTGCAGGGCGCCTGGGTGGCTCAGTCGGTTGGGCGACTGCCTTCGGCTCAGGTCATGATCCTGGAGTCCCGGGATCGAGTCCCGCATCGGGCTCCCTGCTCGGCGGGGAGTCTGCTTCTCCCTCTGACCCTCCCCCCTCTCATGTACTCTCTCTCTCATTCTCGCTCTCTCAAATAAATAAAATCTTTAAAAACAAAACAAAACACCATTCCACTGACCATTCTACTTAGCTGCTCTTCTGCCCCTCCCAACTACTGTCCTCTTGCTCTCAAGCTGCTTCTTAGCAGCCATGGCAAACCACAGGTGTATACATTCCACTTCCAGTGCTTCATGGCCTCTTTAACCTCTCTAAATCAACCTTTTGCTCTGACTACTCTATAGAAAGTACTCTCTTGAAAGTCACTAGTAGTTTCTTTTTCACTCCATCCAGTGGGTCCTAACTCTCCCCAACTAGACTTCAAAATTCCTGCCTTTCATTCTTTAACATGACCAAAGGACCCTTCTCCTGTCCAGGAAATCATCTCTCTTTATTCTCTTGTCTCTCCTTCTACCTAAACAGTCCCCAACCCGCCCCCACCCGCTTACAGGCTAGCCTCTTTTTTCCTTCAATCTAAACATAACCAAAGGCATCCCTTCAAGATGCAACTCTTACTCTTTTGATTCCTTCCTCTAAACCACTAACCCATTCCCTTTGGTATTTTTTAAATTACACCTTTAAATACTTTGAAATATAAGAAATAGAGAAGTGCTAAAATCAGTATGTGCAATGTAATGACTGATTATAAAGCCAACACTCACTCCCTCCCAAGACTTTAACATAATCAGCACGGCATGGCTGGCTCACAAATCTGACTTTCAGCGCCCCCAGCTCTGGGTAATTAGGAATCTCAGAGCTGTGCTAGTCTAACTTCCTTATCTTACAGGCAAAGAAACAGAGACCTCGAAAGGGGACAGGACAGCCCCAAGTGTGCAGCATCTCCAGTCTCTTGTTCCAGGATTCCCTTTCCATCTCACTGGAGCTGCCTGTTTCCTCCCACTGACTCTCTGGACACTGCCCTTGTCAGATGTTTACAGGTCTGCCTCAATCAGAGCTTATTCCTGGAGTCTGGCTACTGCCTGTGGGCAGGCAGCCAGGAACATAACCCTATGCCCTGGCTGCCATCTTTAGAGAGATGCCCATTAAACACTTGGGGTGAGGCCACGAGCTGGACAGTGACATCTTTAAAGCCAGATCCTCTGTGGTTGAAGGACAATGCTGGGGTAAATGTTTGTGTACATAAGTGATTCACAAAGAAAGCACCTAAGTAAAACACTGGTGTGATCAGTAAATTTATAAACAATCCAAACAGATCAATAGTAGAGGAACAGACAATAAATGAGGCCTGTGGGCAAGCAAACACTCCCTCCCAGAGTTCTCTGCGCCCAGTCTGGATAACTGACAAGGGAGCACAGTGGTTAGGAGGCCCCCCAGTGCTTGATTTAAAAAAAAAAAAAAAAGAGTTGACCCTACATCCTACAAAACATTCTCATAAATCTGCAGGATTCTTTAACTTCTCATTCTCATGCTGGAGTAAGGAAGAGCTAACATTTTTTCCCCATAAACATACATTATAAAAAGCTAATTACAAAATAATTTCTTCTACATTTCCTTATCCCTTAAGATAAATGCCTCATTCTCCGAGCCAAAGGGTTGACTCTGCCTCAGCCCTGTAACAGCATTATTATACACTGGGTACCTGAGAGATACAAGATCCTTTACTCATGCTATCTCATTTTGGTTCTGACATTTTCATGATAAGATAGAGGCATTTCTTTATGTACTTCCCACATTCTCCAAATTTTGTGCCTTGAGTATGATTTATTTTTATAATTAATTGAACAAAATAGGGGCACTTGGGTGGCTCAGTTGGTTAAAGCATCTGCCTTCAGCTCAGGTCATGATCCCAGGGTCCTGGGATCGAGCCCCACATAGGGTTCCCTGCTCAGTAGGGAGTCTGCTTCTCCCTCTCCCTCTGCCCCTCCCCTGCTCACGTTCTCTCTTTTGCTTGTTCTCTCTCTCTCAAATAAATAAGATCTTTTAAAAAAGAAACAAAATAAATGCTTGTTTAACAATAATTCTCTTAATTATTCTAGACTTCTCTAAGACAGGGCTCTTCTTGCTCACTTCTCTAGATAGTGGTCCCCACCTGTGCTTCTGAGTCAGTCCTCAGGGGTCACCCCTTAGGACTGATACAAACAGACCGCCACCACCTTCCTCACTGGTCCAGAGTTCTGACTTCACCAGCTCTGGCTTGCTTTCCCATTTCTCATCCTCACTTGTTCCTGGTCTCCCCCTCTCTTACCCCCTTACCCTTCACCCCACCCCCACCACAGACAAAAGAGAAATAAAACCAACACAGCTTATAATGGGTTCACACCTGATCCTCACTTTCGGAGCATGGGCGGCTATATACCAGAGCCAACTAGTTCAGGCTTCCTCTGAGGAATGGACCCCATGAAAAGGCAGATGCCTGATACCCAAATGGGGAACCAAGAGGTACCAGCTGCAAAAGCCACAATTCCAGCCTCCTTATTAGGCTGCACCCCAGAGAAACCAGCACCTCTCAGCCTGTCTGTCCCATTATCAGTGCGTTCCCCAGGTCAGAACTATCTCACTCGTCATCCCCTGCCCATGCACAAAGAGAGTGCCCACAAATGCTTGTTAAAGTAATGAGAAAGGACCCCCTCTTCTTTGCATCAACCTATCTTCTGAACAGAAATGGCAACCACAGTGAACATACAGTGCAAGCCTGGTCCCCTGCCTGGACAATCCCGCACTTGGTTCACTCCTATTCACCTTTCAGATCTGAGCTCTAACGTCACTTTAGTGTACCCTTCCCCGGCAACTTCTTCCCCCTATCAGGCCAGGTCTTCATTATATATTCTCATAACATCAAGTCAATTCCTTCATGGCACCTGTCCAAGTTCACGATTATTTATGTGCTTACTTGTCTTGTCTTCCCACTGGGAAATAGGCCACATCTTGTTTTGCTTACCCCATATCTCCTGTACCTAGCTCAATGCCTGGAACATAATTGGGACTCAATAATCAGATGCTGAACAAATCAAAGCCAATGGCCTTCCTTTTAACCTAATAAGGATGCAGCAGGACATTTATTTATCCAACAGTTGAGCAGTGTTCCTTGTGAGGCATTAGTGATACAAAGATGTATACAGAACACAATATGCAAGCTCCATAAAGGTAGGGATTTTTATTTACTATAAAATTCCTAATGCCTCATAGACCGCAAGCATGAAAATGCTCAATGAACAAAGTCCCCACTCTTAAAAGTCTAAGGTTCATTTGATCTCTTACTTATCCCAATAACATTTTAATTGAATTCAGGAAGCAGGGCAGCTATGGACTCAGCCCCAGAGCTCTGAAGCATACCCACTATTAGTGGACTCCTATCAGAAGGCTGGGAAAGCCACAGCTCCACATACACAGATATTTTTGCCCTCAAAGAAGCTTAGTTTTGAAATTTGTTCTGTTTGAATGTACTTTCAGGGGGGAAAAACTCTAATATAATTTCCTGGGATAAGACTATGTTTGTAATTTAGATAAAACCAATTTTATGTCCCACTGCAATTAGTACATTGTTTCTTAACACTGTTAGAGACAGTACTATTTTTTTTTTTTTAAAGATTTTATCTATCTATTTGAGACAGAGAGAATGAGAGACAGAGAGCATGAGAGGGAGGAGGGTCAGAGGGAGAAGCAGACTCCCCGCTGAGCAGGGAGCCCGACACGGGACTCGATGCCGGGACTCCAGGATCATGACCTGAGCCGAAGGCAGTCGCTTAACCAACTGAGCCACCCAGGCGCCCCGAGACAGTACTATTTTGAAAGTCTCCTGAAAGCCGTGGTTCCCATGAAAGCACTGTTCCTGTAAAAGAGCACAGAAGCCAGGGCGCCTGGGTGGTTTAGTCTGGTTGAGCGTCTGCCTTCGGCTCAGGTCCTGATCCCAGGGTCCTGGGATTGAGCCCCGTGTCGGGCTCCCTGCTTCAGCAGGGAGTCTGCTTCTCCCTCTGCCTCTGCTCCTCCTCCTGCCTTGTGCACCTGCACACTCTTGCGCTCTGTCTCAAATAAATAAAATCTTAAAAAAAAAACAAAAGAGCACAGAAGCCAACTCTGCCTCAACCCTACACCAGCAGTAAAGCATTCTGCATACCATTTTAGAGGACTCATGAGCTCCCAGAGGCCACCCACAAGTCCCAAGTTAAGAAATCCTGAATCAGAGCGAAGGTGGAGACTTGGACCATGCCAGTTTGATATTTTGGTAGAAGTACGTATTTAATCCCAAACACCTCTTTCTCTGTCACAGGAATTGGATAATGCTCTCTCTTAAAACATGTGCTACCTGCCCCAGGAGAGCTGGTACCTGATCTGATAAAGTGAGAGAGTGGCCACTGACATGGGTCGGGGGAAGTGGAACAGTCTGTCACGGAGAGCTTGGGCTTTGTAGGTGGACAAACCCAGGCCTGA